AGTGTTACCCTATTGAATTCCAGTTGCAGAAATGGCGTAGTAGTACTGGGCTGACTTCTCTGGTGTAGATGTGGAAGTAGATCCTGCCTTGAAGCAAGTGGTGTCCTATGTAACCTGAGTTCTTCCTCAACCACATTTTAAGGATTTGTGAGACTACGAAGAGTAAAGTATCCACATCCACACCGAACTTTCTTTCTTTATCTTCAGTAGTCCAAAGTGATTTTTTATTCCGTCAGCGTTGTTTTTCTTCACACCAGTAAATACAATATGAGAATCAGTAAGTGAAATGCAGAGCGTGGCTCACAGATGGGTGTGATGTGTGGTCACACCAGGATGCTGTAACAGCATGTGTTTGGGGAGAGGGTAACAAATCAATGAGACATCTTTCTATTCTGGTGATTTAGGGCAGTGGAAGAAGTTGGACACTAAAGAAATATCTAGCATCGTAATTAACCGCTAGTTTTGATTAAGGACAATTTACTAAGTTTGTCTACTGATGATTAATTATAGAGTTTTTGTCATTGTGCTTATACAGCTGTAAGCAAACATCTGTTTCAAACTAATAAATTAAAAAGCAGCAGCATAAATTTGAATATGTAAATCTTAGAGGTCAGTGGAAATGTGGCTTAGCTTTTAGGCACATCCAGGCTTCTTGGATTTAAGCTTGTGTCTAGTTACAAGACAGTTTCACCCTGAAGCTGTGGAGTTAAGGCTTTAATTCTTGAGCAGTTCCTTTTCTAGAAGCCTACCTACACATGTAGATTCCGAGTATCTAGTCTTACAAATCAGGGTATTATTTATAGCAGTAGAGTAGTATTTACACACAGAAAAATGGGAACGTCACTGCATCGAGGAAAAGTATCCAAGGAAATGGTGGTTTCCTGCTCTCTGGCAGTTAGCTTGCTAGCACAGGGCACCTTGGCCAAGACTTCTGGTAAGCTCTTTTCTTGTGTCTGTCTAGTTTAAAATGTAATCTGCAAAGCCTGATCTGTTACTGCAAATAGAACAGTCCAAGTGAACATCTGCTGATACAGAAAAAATTTCAGTAATTTGTTTATCTGCCTCTGTTTGGAAGAGAGACTGTAACAGCGTACTACTGTGTTCCAGTAACTGAAAATAATGGAAGGAGTTCTGGGTAAGGTCCTTCCTTTGAGCCAGCAGTTGTTGAGTCAAAGCTGTTGAACTCTGCTTCTTCAAAAACAGAGACAGCCAAGTATTTGCGAAAGAAAGCAAAGATGATCAAGGTAGTATTTCTTGTACTAGGACACAAATGGTAGACTAATTTCATTGCTGCTCAGCAATATTACTGCCGTAAAACATCAGCTCATGGTATTTTACTAGGAACACTTTCGGAGGTGTATGCTTGGGAAGGCAGTGGGACAGCTTCACCAAACATACTAGGTGATAAATTGTCTGATTTTAGATGAAATTAGAAAAGGCATAAAATCCTGAAAAAGAATGAAGGTCTTCAGGTTCCATGTGCATTTTGCTGTGTGCCAGTTTGACTTCTTCTTGTGTTGATTGCTTTGTAGTGTGTGACTGAAGAGTGATACTGAATGCCTCAGGAGGAGGTGTTTTGCCTGTGAAAAAAAAAAAGTTCATTGCCTTGAGGTAGAAGTTTTTTTTATTACCTGCTGTACCATCATATAATCTTTTTTCTGAAAATGCTAAAATAAGCAATACCTTTCTTGGAAAATGTTTGCTAAGGGGCTCCCCAACAACTCTTGAAGGTATTTTATTCTATTTGCAACTTTTATTTTGTGATGGTCTTTATGTGGACTCTGCCCTAAAGGATCTTTCACTTTCTGTAGAAGCAGTGTTGGCTGATTTCTGGTATAGCAATTAAATCTTTCACAGAACATCTTATGGTTGAGAACTGCTGATGTCGTGGCTATCACTAAATGGTTGCTATGGAAATTAAGTAGGAAGGCATTCATTATTAATACTGCATTCCCATTATTTGCACTTCCATGGTGGAAATGTGCTTGCTTTCTCCAGGCTGTTAGGTTGTGTGACTCTTGTGATGAGGATCTCTCTCTGCAGGTAGTCTGAGTGTTCTGCTAAGTCTCCAGCCATCACGGTATGCCTTATGCAGTTTTGTGTCACTGTTATTCTGTGTCCCAGTCACTGCATTTCTTTGTGGTGCTATGCCTTGATGGATTTGTAAGAGGTATTACGTTATATGTGGCCTGTCTCTGCCCAGGCGCTTTGCATTATGTTTCTTCTCCTTTAGTTTGAGTGGGAAATTTCTTTTGAGATGTTGAAAAATTGTGTGTAGAAGCATGGGTTGTGTATGTATCTGCTTTTTAAGGTGGTTTCCATGCAATCTCTTTGACATGGCAGAACAGCAGAATTTGGTTTGTTTTTGGTTGAAGAGAAGCTAAACACCAGAATTCTTAATCTAGCTAGCAGCTGTATTTTTCTTATTCTACTAAATGTTGAAATGCCATTCATAATATGCTGTGATAATAGCAAGTAGAGCTGATGCTTCAAATTTAAGGTTAGGCAGTGATATAATTCCAGTGTAATGCTTCCCATTAAAAATGTAAGGCAGCTGGGAAGGCTTCAGTCTATAGCAGAGCTGGTTGCCAAGTATCTTGAAGAAATATTTGGGCCTTTGTTTACTACCGGCTAAAGGATGGATAAGTAGAAGTTATGTAGCACTGCTTCAATACAGAGGCAGGTATATCTACACTGAGCCTGATGGGGGAGAAAGGACTTCAGAAATAAACCTAAGACCTGGAAAAGGACTTGCTGCTTAAGGGAGATTGAAGTTGATGTAGCAAAAAGAGAGGAGAGGAGTGTTCTCATTGTGCAGCTGACAGTTATTTTTAATAGAAAGAAACTTAAATATGTTTGGACATAGAGGGAACTTGAACCTAAAAAAAAAAAAAAAAATCAAAAAGCTGTCCAAACAATGTTCAGGAAGACTTCTGAAATATAATGTACAAGGCCACAGTTCTTGATAGCTGTGAGTAGCTAGCTTCTGCAGTAGTGGTGCACTGGGAAGAATAAGTTTTTTGATGAAGGGCTTTAAGTGTAAAGTGTAAATGCAAACAAAGCACCTTTTGTACTCATCATAAAGTAGTATTGTGTGGCAGCATAATTTCTTTTATAATTCAGAATTGATTGATGCTCAGTGAGGTCTGGGGATTGTACCCTTTTGCTGTGGGTAGATGCACTTGATACGTACAATAATGTCCCCATTCATTGGAGTGGAAGCAGTATTGAAAACTGCAGCTAAACTTGCTGTCTCTAGCAGCAGTGGCATGACTGATTGCTGAAAGTTGGAGCATGTGACTTGAATAGAGGTTTGGCAACACACGGGGAAACGGTTGTCTGGTGTGGAGTGTGACGAGGCAACATTTACCCTGCTCTGTTTCTCCTTTTTCCAAGCAAAAGGCAGGTTGCCAAGTACAGGGGCTGAATGGTTTGGATCTTCAGTTGGGGATGTTTTGCCTACACTTGGGTAAAAGAGATGTGCCGATAGCTTTGCAAATCGAGAAGTTGTACTTAGTAGTAATGCAAGCTAGGTGGCTCGTTCACACTTATATCTTTGTTTACCCATCTTCTCCAGACCTCAGCCTTGTTCCTGTTTATATTACCCTTTTCCTTCAGTTGACAAACTTTCTTGGGCTCCTAAAACCAAAATTTTATGTTAGATTCATAATATTTCTGCATGCATCTCTGGAACTTCCAGTGTAGACATGGCAGAACTGCAGATGAATCCCTGATGGGTGTGGATACAAATGTGTGCTTCTGGACTCTTAGTAAATGCATCCTCAATTGTTGCTGTTCGTGTAGTTTCAGGATTAAATTAGGATTAATTCACCCCTTTGTGTTATGGAGAAATGAACATCTTGTACAAGTGTTCAGAAAGTTCGGCTGATGGAATGCAGTCATTGTTTTGGCAACTCTGGTATTCAGTCTTAGGTGTTCAGCCACACAGAGCTCACTTTGGAAAAGCTGAAAGATGTTGGATCTTCGTTATTTACCATCTAGTTTCTATGTAGTGTATTTTTCAAACTCTTCTGTGGCTGTTCGGGCTGGGTTAAGTGAAATTTTTTAAGAATTGTTCCATCCAGAGTTACTCAATTTTAAAAATGTCCCATAGTGAGACTTAATGTTAAAGCCCTCTATCATTTAAGGTCTTTTAAGTCTCAGCTGTTTATACTAAGAATGTTGGTATGTTGACAGACTTTTCCAAGATCTTGCCTTGCATTGAAAACCCTCACCTTAAACCAAAATAATAACAAGCCTTTCAATTTGCTATTAAATCTTGAAACCATCTGAGTGTGTCCATTAAGCTGTTATTCCGGTAGAGCACTTCAGTACGGAACTAAATCTTTCTTTGTTGAGCTAATCAAGCTTGGTATCCTAATTATTGAAACATTCTAGGAGGATGTTCTGTGATAGTATGAGACATCTCCAGAGATAATTAAATCTTTACTGTTTCATTATGCCACAAATATTGATTCTGATATTTTATGACCCTTTCTTTCCTCTCTAATTACTCCAATATGAATAGCAACTTGCATGCAGTCTTATAATGTCATGCAAATCAGGCTAAATTTCTTTTAAGTTTTGTAGTAAGAAGTAGAAGTCAGAGAGCTTTTATCTAATAGTTTCTATGGCTTTCTTCAAGAATTAAGTACTTTGAGTAAGGATATGAATGTTTCTGAGAGAACGTTTCCTTCCTCTATCAAAAAGAACCATGACTGGGAAAGGTAGGGGTGGAAATGGAAAGCACAAGGAACTTCTATTTTTCCATTATATAAAATGCAAGTATCCAGTTTCCTGACACACTACAGTGATGTATTTTTTGGATTGCTTCCTCTGTGGCCTAATGTTATTCTGGGTCATCTTGTTAATTAAAAAAACTTTGCAACTTGCAGTTTCTGTTTGGTGTGGTTTTAAGCAGTCTGTGATGATAAATATGCAGAAAATGTGTAGTTTTTAAAGCTGTTACACTTCTTACATTCCTATTCTTGTTCCTACAGTACTTGGGACATGTGGAAGTGGATGAATCCAGAGGAATGCATATCTGCGAAGATGCTGTGAAGAGACTGAAATCTGTATGTATACTTGTTTCATGAAAAAGCTGGCTTTGGGGTTGTGAGTGTCTAAAAGGTCCGTTCGGCAGCAGTGCTCCAGCTGAAGCCTGAACTTTTGACCCACTTTAGGAGAACAGTTGGCTGGTGTGAGAGCACTGCTGTGGTTAGGGGGACGTGCTAATCTGATGATGAGAGGGAGAGAGTTACAACTGTTCTTTCTACTGGCAGAAACTATTTGCAAAACAAATGTGTAAAAATCCTCTGTGACCTTTCAGACTAAGTTGGTACCCATATGGGATTCAACGTTGTTTTTTAACAGGTCTTTCTCCCTCTCTCTCTTTCTCTCTCTCCCTCTCTCTCTCTCCCTCTCCCTTTGTTGCCTGCCACTTCAAAAGTGACTTAATTCACCTCTATTATACAAAATATTATTTGATTTAGGCTGCTTTTTTTTCTAATGCACTGCAACATTGTAGTCATGCATGAAATAATCTGGCTTGCATCTGCTCGAAGAGGCCTGCCTGAAGGCTGCCTAATTCTGGTATGTCATGAAGTGGGCTGCTCTTAGTTTGGCTTCTGTGAACGTTTGCTCCCGTAAATGGCAATCGTTCAAAGCTCTTGGTATTCCTACAGCTCATTTCAAGGTCTTGTCATCTCTTCCCTGTAGAAAGTCAGTGAAGTCAGTGGTCAGTTTATTAAGAATCTGAGGCTAGAACAACACTGAAGAGGAGAAAGAGAGGATGTTAGAATTTGAAGTCTGATTGAAGATGGAGAACTGCTGTCCTTTTCATCGCTTCTCTTGTGTCCTAGCTAGATAGAGTCTTCAGTAATGCCTTTACCAGAAGAAATTCTTGTATCCTTCTAGCTCAGCCAAAATTACTGGAAATAAATCAAACACTTGTATTGCATCTTTGCTAACTTAAGATATCTTTGCCTGGATATGATTTTTTTTTTCTCCTTGCCAAATGTGAGAACTCAAATGTCTTCTGAATAAACCTGTTCTTCTTAGCACAAAACAGAAGACTATAGGTTATCTTCCTTCTGTTGTGTTTTAAAGTTTCTGAATTGCTTTACTGCTCTGATTAAAATCAAGTCTTTTCATTCTTTTCTCTCTCAGCCAGTGTCTAGCAACCTGTTCAAGCCGCATCCCATCTGTTCCCATTCAGTCCAGCAGTGATTGGTGACTGATTTTTATTAAAAAGGACCACACAGAATGTAAATTAGTTTTTGTTCTGTGGATTTAGTTTATGTAGCTAAAAATGCAAGTACTGACCACATAATGAGTTGCATCCATTTTTGTCCTCTTCTGGTTTTCACTGTATCAGGATACTTTCTGTTAGTACACTGAATAACATTCCAGTATCTCCTTTTTGCAGCTTTTCTCATCTCCTTCTCCGGGGAGCTGTGCTGTGAAGTATTTGCTTTCTAGGTCTTTTTATAAACTTTCAGTCCACAAACCAATTAAGTGTAGCTAAGCTTATAAATAATAAGACATGGTAAAAACATAGCACCCAGTTTCTTCTGGAATTCAGATAATGCTAGGGTTGTGATTCTTGATCATCATCATTGAATTATTGATTCAGATGTAAGACATCTAACTTTTACAGCACATTCCCTAGAAGTAACTATCTTGATTTCTCTGTTCTGTGCTTTATGATTATTCTGAATGGCACCAACTTATTGCCCATTCTCATAAATGCAGTGTTTTTATTCAGATGATTTTTATTTCTTTTGCTGTTTGAAGTTTTTAATGTTTATGTGCAAATAGGACACAGGTGTGTGTCTTAGGATTTCTGCTTGCATTGTCTTGTTTGTCAGTGCTGGAAGTAGAGAAACGGATGTGGAATTCTCATTGGGCCCCAAGAGGAATATTCAGATTACTGAAACTGCTTTGTGCACTCGAGCTGTTAGACTTCATCAGACCCAAGCTTCATCTGAAGCTGCTCACTGCAATTCAAACCGTGCCCCCGTTCTCAGACCCCTACCCTGCGTGTGTCGGTTTTAAACTGGGAGCATTCCTTTAGGATTCTTCCATTGCTTGAGAGCTCTTTTCTGTACAGTGTATTCTCTTAACAAGGAAAAGCCATACCTCTCTGTGTTGTTTCAGCATGCAGGGAATGTGATAAGAAAGCAATTTGCTCCTTTGGTAGTCTTTTCCTTTTACAGTTCTTCGTTATTTCAGTGGGCTTTCTCTTGGTCTTGAAAGAAGTTCAAGTCTGAGGTGTGGTGCTCAAACGGAAAGACCAGCCTTACAAAAATTGAACTTCATTTTTCATATAGTTAAACTAAATACGAGTGTATGTGACCATTTTAATCTTTGTTTTCTTTGCAGGCATTGTATAGTTCTTATGAATCCAGTTTATGAGAAACAGTTCAGTTCTCTTAGAGACAGAATTGTCGACATACTTGTAACTTCTAAAACTGAGTTCTCTCTGTCTTTACTTATTTCAATAGACATGTTTTGTTCTTAATTCTTATTCTCCAACAGTTGGCTATTTATTTGGGGAACTGAAATATGTTCTTTTTTTTTTTTAGGGTTGACTATTGGACTTTAAAACCTTTTAAGATTTGTCAAGAAAAATACAAAACTTGATCTTCATTTTAGGAATATCTTAATTTCTGTTTTAGAAAGAAAAGATGCAGTCAAATTCTTTTCCCTTTTATTGTGGAGAAATATTTTTGCAGGTCCTTTATTATCTTCTGGTTGAATATGCCACAATCATTTTTGAGCACATCTTGCAGAACTTAAACCAGATGATGGTAAATCTTTTGTTCAGGGACTGTTCAATTGACAGCTGAGTAAAAGAAGCCATTTTTAGCAGAGAGCCGTTTTCAAGCTCTGGGACTGCATACCAACCCAAACAACACTATAATGTGCAGGTTACGATTTTTCTTGTGATGAATGAAGAGAAACTGATGTCCCTATTTTCTGTCTGATGATATGGCACAGCAGTTTCATTGATGGATATAAAACCTGTGTGTTCAAGTCTCGCTATCTGTTATTCAGGTGTTACCAAAGGGGCATACATTTTTCCCTTAGCAGGGATATATTACTAACTGTGGATCCTCAGATTTGGATACAAAGCATTGAAAGACTTCTCCAAAGCCATTTCCATGATTTAGCATTATTTAGTGCAGACTGAAAAACAGCTTTCTGAGGACCCTATGAGGTATCTTTGTAACCTTATTTAACTCAGGTATGGGGATATGGTATAAAGACAAAATTACACTCTCATATCATGTTTTGATTTTTTAAATCAGCTTCAGTGTGTAGTATTGGTTTCTAACTTGCCACTACTTGTTTTAAATGATGCATTTGTTTTAATATATGTTCTTGTTTTAGCAGGTAAAGAGACATAATTTAATATTTTAAAACATGCATTAGTTATCTCTAAACTACATTAACTTAGTGTTGTTTAAAATCCATTTTGCATGATGCCTTTCCATTAACATTTCTAGCTTATTAAAAACCATAGATCTTGTTTAACAAGCATTTTGCTGTGAGCAAAATTAACCATCACCTAAAAATGAGGTAGCTTCTGGTGAATCTCTTTTAGCTTTTGCTATCTTTAAAAGGCTGTTATTTAGTGTAATGCAAGTCATTGCTCAACTTGGCAGCAGCATCCAGCCCCTTCTCATTATGTGCACAACGCTGTGATTAATCCATTAGTTCCCCTCCCAGTGTTCAGCATATCTTGTCCAAATACATGACCGTTCTTGCTGCTAAAAGCTATTAAGCCTTTCAGCTGTCTGCACGTAGAGATGTTCTTGTATAGTGCCTGGGTTGACATAAATATCTTACAGATACTTGTTGAAAAGCTCTGTGGAAGGACATTGGGCAGAGAGAAGCACTCAGTAGCAAAAGTCAGGAAATGCAGAGTTGAGATTGACACTCCCTTCTTAGCTTTGTTTCCTGGCTTTTGTTGGCTTGCGTCAGAACAAAGCTTTGTTTTAAATATAACCTTGTATATCAGTCAATTCTGAAGGCACTGCCTCAGGATATTTGTAATAATATTTTGATATAGCATTGTTATCAACGTGATGGTAATTTGGGGTCAGCGGCTGTCAGAAACCCTTCTTTAGTCTCATGTGGATTCTCCATGATCTCCCTGTTACTGCTGTACCAGTTTACTTGCAAGTTAAATCATTTGGAAAGATAGTGAAAGCAGGGATATGCTGCAGTGCCAGCTTCCTTCAGGTATTGAGTAGGTGTAGCTGTGCATGCAGGACATCAGGGCCTGGGGAATATCCTCATATCAGATCAGGCAGATCTTGCAGTTTTCTTTTAACAATCTGGTAACAAAACAAAGCCAGTAAAAATGGCATGCCATTTTGCTTTAAATTGTGTTCTGCTTTAGTGTCATTGTGAATTGAGCAATCAATATAATCACTTCCAAACTGAAGACATTCAGGAACTTGTAGTTCGGCTTTTTGTGCCTCTGCCTTGGTCTAACTTCTCCCTCTCAGAGGTGGCTTTAAAGCAGATCTTGTTCAGTCTATTAATCAGAAGTTGTAGAATGAATATTTAGCAGTTGTGGACTGAGGAAGAGGAGGAAGAGGTCTCAGTTGTGGTTCAGTTTAGGTCAGAGAAAATTCCTTACTGGCCAAAAAAGGTTGTATAAAATGCAGAGTAAGAGTAGCGCATAAACCAAAACAGTAAATAAATAGAATAAAATGAAGCACAAAAAATGTTTTTCAGCTTTTAATCCTGCATTATGCCAGCCACTGTATGTTCTCCAGCATATGGAGCACTTGCTTCAGAAAAAAACGGTCAATACAGAGAAAATTTGACTATAACTCTGAAGTTAGAACTTTGCATTTCATGCCCATACGGTATTTTAATTGTTCGACCACCACGTCTGCTGCCAAGTTTGGTTTATAACCTAACTAAAGGGAACTAAACAAGGGAGAGTGACAATGAAGTAACCACTTTGCATGAAATTGGGGCCAAGGTTCTCTTCTTTCCACCAATTTCAGGGCAGTAGCTTATTAGAATTGTGTGTGCCCTTTGATCTGCATTTTCATGGGATTATTTTCACATTTGCCTGTCGCACCTTCTTGTGGATAACTCTAAAAACCCCTTCCTTTCCCTCCAAACCCTATTCTTGTGTGTGCTTGTTGGTTTGAAACCCTGGGACATTTTAGCTACCTTCAGTAATAGCGCTCGACTTGTCCCCCCTGTTCCTCCAGGAAAGGAAGTTCTTCAAAGGCTTCTTTGGAAAAGTAAGTTTAATGCCTCATTTGTGCTTGCACTATAAGGAGTTACATCCCTGGTATAGCACTGCTGTAAAATCAGGGTGTTGAGAATCCCTTAATCTATTTCAGAAGATTTACTTCTAAAATCCATTCCTTCCCAGACTTGATCAAATTGATCAAATAAAGAATATGGTTAAAAAAGTGACTTGAAATAGAAACTGAACTCCATATGGACTGTATCAGAAATCCAGCGTTCTGAAATGATTTGGTCTTCCTGAAATAAAAATGTGACTTTTTTTTTCCTTGAAATCCCTTAAACTTGTGCCAGCCTATATCACCTAGGCAAACACCTATGGAACTGTTGGAGTCTGTGCTTGTAAACACTGCTGGATTGGCTGCCTAGCACCACGAGCTTGCCCACCTGTTAGTGTGGGGAGAAAGCAGCAAGTCTACATGTACCATCTCCTAAACCTTTCTCTTTTGAGCACGGTCTAAATTCAGAGGTACATGAAGAGGAGACCAGGCTTTACCTGCTATTTGTTTTCCTAATTGCAATTCTGTTGTATAGGAAAAAGCTTTGCTGCCTGCAGTTGCTCTGGTTTTCCTGAGGACGGTGTTGTAAAAGGAAGCAATTGTTTGTCCTTACTAAGAATGTGCTGCAGACTGGATTGGGGTGGTTTGTTATTTTTATTTTTTTAAATTCTGTCTACATCTCTGTAAGACAGTGTTGGTCAACCTCTAAAAAAACCTCTTTTGCTTCCCATCTGTTGACTGCTTCTACATTTAGAATTCTTGTAAAACACTTCCTGTGGAATAAATTTAAATGTTGCTTTTCAGGGATCTTATTACATGCTGAATCTTGGTTTAAATAGAAACTAACAAGTTTGTAACTTGCATCGCAGAATCTTTCAGAGCAGATGATTTTCTGATCACACGTTTGTCTTGGCTTTACTTAAGGAGTAAATAAAGCTTTTTCAGCTGCACCTGTGTCACTTCACACTCACATGGTAGTGCATGTCATAGAGGAGCTGCTATTTCTCCAGTTCACCTTTCTTCCGAAGATGTGGGAAAGCTCACCAGTGAAGTGAGTGTAGTAATAGTGAAGAAGCTTTTTTTTTTTTTTTTAGAGTCAAAATGCTGTATGTAGGGGATCTGCCAGATTAATCAAATCATTCCTATTTGTAAATGAATTAAAGGCTGGAATCTACAAAGGTTGGAGTAAAACATGCTATTCACTGTATAATATGCTAAGTATTTGTTGGAATATAAAACCAGCACGAAAGACGCACCTCAACCTGATCAAAATGAATGTTAGTTTTCTTTTTCCTTATTGGCATTCATCTGTGCCTGTAGTAGGTGCACTCAGGTAGAATGAGGCACATTTGGAGTATCTCTACACTAGTGCATGCAGCATGAAGAACAATCAAGAGAAGCTAGAAGCCTTCGGTCATTCCCAGAACTACACAATCATTGGCATAAGCAAAATCTGTTGGGAAGGGTCCTGAGATAATGTATCACAATGAAGAATTCTAGGTGGCTCAGCAGGAATAGGCAGGACAGGTGGAGTGGAGTGCTGTGAGTGAGAGAGGGGCTGGCCTGTGCAGAGCTCACAGCTGCTAGTGACACAGTTGGGAGCCCCTGGGTAAGGATGAGAAGAGGCAAGCAAATAAAGCTAGTGTTGCAGTGAGAGTTACTGTAGGCCATCCAGCCAAGATGATGACACCGCTGATTTATCGTTTGAGAAGCTATGAGATACCTCTAGATATGCCACCCTTCTCCTTATGGATGACTTCAACTTGCCAGATATTAACTAAATATATCACACAGCAGGTACAAACAGGCCAGGCAATTTCAGAAATGGAATAGTTGTTGCTTGTAAACAGAGATGTTCTCATTGGTGAAATGCTGATTGGTGGCTATCTTGGCCATAGTGACCATGAAGTGCTTGAGTCAGAAATACTTAGTGGTAAGGGTAAAACTTCAGGCTGTTCTGAGAGCTAGGTTGTTAGTTTCCATGGGGTCTGCTTTTGAAGGCATTATGGTCCATCATAGCTGGTCACTTTTTAAACACAGCCTCTTTAAGAACACAGGATCAGGTAGTTAAAAAATGTCAGAAGACGTGCAGATGAAGCAGAAGGTCAGCCTCAATCAATAGAGATCTTCTAAAGCTTAGGTGGGGAAAAAAGCATGTGGCTACTAGAAGCAAGGTCTGGTGACATGGGAGGACTACAGAGATGCTGTTCACTGTTGTAGGGAGAAAATTTATGTGGTCAAAGCTGAATTACAGCTGAAGGTGGACAGTACTGTGGGGGACAATAAAAAGGGATTTTTAAAATATGTTAACAGCAAAAGGAGGATCAGAGATAACATTGGTCTGTTACTTGATGAGGATTGTCACCATACAGACAAAGCAGGGATGTTTAATGCTTTTGTCTTCAACACCCATGATGGACTCTGGGACACCTGGAGCCTTGAGTTGGAGAACTATGACTGGTAACAACAAACTCCTGGCTGAATGCCATACTTGTGTAGAATTTGCTGCTCTAACTGGATGGAGATAAGTCCGTGGGGCCTGGTGGGGTACATCCCCCAGTACTGAAAGAGCTGACTGATGCCATTGTGAGATGTCTCAATTATTTTTCAATGGTCTTGGGAATCTGGAGAGGTCCAAGTCAACTGGAGACTGACAAACAGTTGTCCCAGGTTTCAAAAAGTGCAAGAAAAGACCCTGGAAATTAGAGACCTGTCAGTCTCACTCGAGTGCCTGGCAAAATGTTGGAGATAATTCTTTGGGGAGTTACTGAAACACACCTGGAGGACAGTGCAGTCATTGGTTACAGCTAACATGAATTCATGAAGGGAAAGTTCTGTTTAATGAACTCTGATCTCCTTTTTATGACAACAGTGCCCACTCGCTTGACTAAAGGAAGCTAGTTGATGTAATTTTTCTGGATTTCGGCAAAGCTTCTTGTTTCTCACAGTATCATTCTGGACAAAATGTCCAGCATACAGCTAGACAAAACATAATGCAGTGGATGAACTATTGGCTGACAAGTTGGATTCAGAGGGTTATTGTTGCATCAGACTGTCAGCCAGTCAGTTGTGGAGTTCCTCAGGGCTCCATTTTAGGGCTAATTCTCTTTAATGTTCTTATCAATGATTTTGGATATAGAGTTTGAAGGTATACTATTTAGCGCTTGCAGATAGCGCTAAATTGAGGGGAGCTGGTGGCTCCTTCAAGGGCAGAGAGATCTTGACAAATTAGAGTACTGAGCAATCGCCAGCCTTACGAAGTACAACAAGAGCAAGTGCTGGATTCTGCACCTGGGATGAGTTGCAACCCTGGCTGTGTGTAGAAGACAGCAGACTGGAGGCTGAAGAGTGGTCCTTCGCTAAGGATTCTGAGGGTTCTGGCTGATGGCCAGAATATGAGTCAGTAGTGTGCCCTGGCAGCCAAAGATGGTGAAGGGTCTAGAGGGAAAGCTGTGTGAGAGGTAGTTGATGTCCTTTGGTTTGCTCTGCCCGGAACAGAGAAGCTGAGGGGAGACCTCATGGCAGCCTACAGCTCCTTGCAGAGCTGAGCTCTGCGGTCTGGTGAGGAGTTACAGGGCCTGAGGGAATGGCATGGAGCTGTGTTGGGAGGGGCAGCTGGGGGTTATGGAAAGGTTCTGCACCAGAGGGTAGTCAGGCATAGAACAGGATCCTGAGGGCAGTGGGCATGGCCCTGAGCTGCTGCAGTTCAAGGAGTGTTTGGACAGCACTCTCAGAAACATGCTTCGAATTTTGGTCGGTCCTGTGTGGAGCCGGGAGTTGGATTCAGTGACCCTTGTGGTTTCCTTCCAACTCAAGACGTTCTGAGATTCCATGATGTACCAGCTACCTCATTACATTTGCATTGCTTTTTAATGAACTCCAATACTTTGTTTCAGCCTTGTACGTTTGCTTTTTTTTATTATAATGTTTTGCTGAAAAAAGAGTTGCTTCTGCTTCAGCCAGCAAAGTTAGATTAGCCAGCACTGAGAGTACTGAAATCCATAGTGTTTAGATGTCCCTGCAATGTCTATAATTTCTCCCTGGATATCTTGTTTTGGGATTAATGTAATATTTCAAGCCAGAGCTGTTTTAACTTGCTACTTGTATTCAGTAAGTCTGTCTAGGCAGATTTGCTTCTTTCCCTGTCCGTTTTTTATTCCCCTGGAAAGGTAAATCTGACTTATTTGTGTCAGGAAACGTTCTAGTGCTTAGTCACAGCCTGACATTGAAAATACTTCATTTTCAACTTCAAGTAAAAATGAGATGTCTGTTGCTAGCTCTGGGTTAGGCTTTTGCTGTTTTATTTTGTTTACAAGATGTAACTGAATCAACTGCCTTTTTGGGCAGGTCTTCATATTTTAAAAGTAAGCCTTCTGTGTGTTAATGAATAGTAGTACAGATCTTTCTCATCTTTTGCTTCTATCAAATATGTGTATTTCTCAGTGTGCAGTGTTTTGTTCAGAAACTGAGAAGAAATTTTTGTTGTTGTACATCTCAGGCTCCAGATGCATCTTACAGTTGTTTTGAAGGCCTTGGAAAGAATAAAATAGGCAGATACTGAGAAATCTGTAAGCAACTGAAAGACTAGAAACAATTCAGAAGTATTTAAAAATGCATTATTATGCAACGTTCATTCTGTTTGGTTATCATTAAGCCTTTATTTTCCACCTTACAGTACAGGTGCTACCTATTTCCATCTTGCCATCGCTTCTAATGGCCCAGTCAGCAGGCCCAGCGCTGTTGCTCAGGAGAGATGCATTTCAGCTTTAATCAATTTCATTTTCTTTTCTGTGATGCCTGTGTTGAGGGTACCTGCTCATCTGAGAGGTTTCCCATGTGCTTTGTTTTCAGCCTTGCCTTCCGTTCAGCGGGGTGCCTCACCTGCCCGCCAGGAGGCTTCTGAGGACCCTGAAATGAGTCGAGAGAACAAGTCTTGTGCTAGAGCAGATTACCAGTCTCCTAGAAAATGCTAAGAAGTGAGCTTTCTGTCACAGCTGATTCACACTGACAAATCGGGTGTCGGTGCCATGAGTGGCTCCCCTCCAGCGGTATCGTCATCCTAGAACTCTTGAATGTGAAGACAAGCTACTGATGCAGAAGTCTGGAGGAGTGCCTAAGTAGTAGAATTTAAGACCATGCTATTGCAATGGATGCCATCAATTTGATTTAAACGTTTTTTTGTTTGAAGTCACATCTGTCTGTCAGACACTGTGATCCTGCATTGGAGATTGCTGAGTGAAACCCAAGTTGATTAATACAAACTTCAAGAACTGCTCAGCATTTGACTCTACAGAAACAATATTGTGGTTTGCTGGAAAAAGAAACATCCTAGATTCTATAATGATAGTCTAAAGCAAGCAGTTACCCACAGGCATTGTCTTCTCTTGATTTTCCTTATTTGCTTGAAGGTTTTAAGACTGCTAGTGGCTTTTAAGAAATTGGCACTCCTTCAAAATGTTTGAGACAAATCTCTACATGCCATCTCTTGGGATTGATAGGGATTTTTAGGCTATGAAAGCTAAGTGGACATTGAGAATATATACATATACGTGTGCATTTATATTTACTTCCTTTTAAGACCGAGAACTAGAGGCAGCTTTTAAATGCTGCAGTATTTTTTTAATGCATATGACAATAACTTTGAGTCTATCTTCCTTTGTGAAGAACCTTTTCCATTAGGCGTTCCAGAATCTGAAGGTTTTATTTCAGTCCTTCTGGGATATTGAACCGGCTGGATGGGCTCCTACAAACTTGTTTCCGCCAGCACTTCAGTAGCTTGTTTTCATACTGTGCTTATTTTTGTTCTTCTCTCCTTTACTCTCTGTTCTGTACAAGTCAGTGCTGTTCTCTGGTCTCACCAAGTGTTCTGAGAGCGCTTTGGTTGTCATCGCTGCTTCAGAAATTGGGACAGATAGTTCCTCCCCCCAAAACCAGCACAAGTCCTGCCAGGCTGATTTTCTTCACACTTTCTGTCTTCTCTGAGAGTGAAACCAATGTGATACAGCAGGTGGCTTATCAGTCCGAGATAAAAAATGCACTTCATCCTTACAACATTAAAGTCAGAGTTGCTAATTTGGAACACGCATTAGCTTATGCCAGAACGTGTCCTTGCTCAGATACTTGCCATAGGAATATAAATTATATACATCTGTACTGAGTTATTAAAAATGAAATGCAATCCTTGCAATCCTTGCACAAAGCCATGAGTTGATACGCCCCACTCCCCTCCCATCTTTTGTTGGTTTTGTCGTTCTCTTCTCTTCCTGCAGTGGTCTGTGGCAGCTGTCTACAGCAGCCACAAAGTATGTATGTAAACCCTGTGCTTCTGGAAAGGTGTTTCTGAGGTAGCTCAAAGGCAAAAGAATAGAGTACAGGACTTGTGAATCTAAGTAACGCATTAAAAATTGTGTTAGGGGTTGTTTTGTGGTAGTACTCGTAAAATTATGGTGACATTGCACCTATTTTCTGTTTGATTGGTTTGATTTCAGAAGAATATCATCTTGTATGTGTGCTGTTTATGCTGTTCTCTGCAACCCTCCTTTAAAAAGTAAACAGTTTAGAAAGAACCTGCAGTTGACGTGGCTCCCAAAGCCTTCCCATGTTTCCCACTTCTGCTCACCCTCAGCTCGTGGCAGCTGAAAGGTCCCACAGTCACATCTTGGAGGAAAGCCACGGCACTCCCCTGCTGCTGCACTCTGCTGCACAGTGCTTGTCAAGCTACAATCAAATGGTTAATATGTCACATTCTTCTACCTCTCTTCCAGCATGTGACATTCTGCTCTTAGCAAATCTGTAGAACATGCTTAGATGGTCGATCTCAGCATTAAGCCCGTAACACTGCAACCAATGTCTTCTGGGTACTTTTAACACTGGTTTAAGGTGATGCCACAATTCTGCCATGAAACTATTGGGGCTGAGGGTGGGGGTGGTGGAAATACCAGGTAAGAATTTTCCTGCATTTAAACTTGTGCTCGAGAAGCTACCTGGGGTGTAACTCCTTATGAATTAGTGTTATCTGACTCTTTGGTGGAATTCTTCACCCACTTGGTCAGTCTGGAATTCTTTACTGTACATGGATGTACACCCTATTTATGACTCCACCTGTTCCATGCCCGCTCCCCATGCCCATGATATGCTCCCTTTGAAATACTTTGGCTTTGGCTTGGTTCTCTGAGTGTTTTGCAACTTGGATTGATTTATCTGGCTTTGGGCACCTTACTGAACGTGGACTTCATCTACACTTATTGTTGTGATTCTTGGAAAGGGGGAATGGGTGCAGTCTGACGTAGTTAACAGAAAGCTGTTTTTTTTCCCTATTTTTTTCTTTTCTGAAGACTGGGAAGAAGGCAGTTAAAGCGGTCCTGTGGGTATCGGCGGATGGACTCCGAGTTGTAGATGAGAAAACGAAGGTTAGATTTCTCTTGACAAAAGTTCAGAGTTTCTCTATAATAACACGCATGCCATAACTTTAATTAGACCTGAATCTCTATCTTTATGTAAATGTTGGTGTTTGAAAGAAAGATTTAAGCATCTAGTTGGTTTAATCATTTATTCCTTGGAAAATGTATGTATGCTTATTATTATTTTTCTTTATTAATGCCGCAGTACTTGATAAAATGAGGCAGGTAGCACAGATTAGGAGCTGTCTTTGTTGCATTTGCCAGAAGAGCCATCTTTTCCCAACAAGTTCTGTTGACGTTGAACTCGCAGTGTCCCTTGACTTTTGTCCTGTATGACTGCAGAGGGATGCGAGTGTAATACATGAGAAAACTGATGTTGATCAGTATAATTTCCAGTGCATCCAAATCCCACAACAGGTCTGAATGAACAAAATCTGGCTTCCAAAAACATGGTGAAGGGAATAAATGAAATAAAGTCATTTCCCTTAAACATCTTAAATTTTCTTCAATGGATATCAAATTCTCTAATTTTTAAGTGGAAGCTGTTGGTCTCAAATGGAAGGCAGGTGTATCCATGGCTTCCTTCTGGGTTGTTTTACAATGTTTTATTGTGAGATAGCATAGTGTGTAGGTAAAAGCAAACAATTTGTGTGTTCATGCAGGTAATTAGAAAGGAGAGCTTAATGCTTATCTCCATAGTGTTACTAGCATTTAGAAGATGCCACAGCTAGCGTAACAGTTTTTACTGTAATTAGTATAAAATGAATTTGTTTTATATTCATGTCACTTAATGCTTAGCTTAATGACCTAAAAAATGATTTCTGCATGCCAGCACTGAGGAGCAGGTAGAGAAAATGTCCCTCTGCAGTGTGGTAGTGTTATGAATAGCTGCTGTGGGGATCAACATCTCCAGGGCTGTTGCTGGGGTGTGCTTTGGCAGCACTGAAGTTACTGTCTGTAAGAATTCAGTATTTAATATGAACATACAGCTGCAGGTGAGTTCAGTCTGCTGATTGCCTTAAAAAGGCTAATAAGTATATGTGTGCATATGTAGAAATGTATTCAATGTGCATTATTAAATTATACATACATATATTGAATTCATAAAAATGAATTTTAATAACTTTTGCAGACCATAGAGGTAATGAAAGGAACAGTGCTTAAAAAGGGAATATGATATTGCCTCCTGGTGGTTGCACACAGTAGCACAGGTGCCAAAGAACAGACACCAACCAAAAAATACACTGAAAAACATCAGGGGAAAGAAAGGAATGAGGACAGCATCATTATTAAACTATACTGCCTTCTTTTTAGAAACACCTCTCCCATCTGTTTGTGGAAACAAATTGGGATGTATGATAGTGCCAGCTCTGCTGGTGCTTTTCTATTCCATCCTTGCATCGCTTGGTGCCACACGAGCTGTTGCTTTTTGTGCAGCAGCTGCTAAGTCTTCTCACACAAGCAGACTTCTTCACAGGAAAGATCTTTTGATTGCTAGACTGCATTAAAAATAAAACCAGTGTTCCCTTTTTCACCATGCTAGATCCATAGTCTGGAGCAGAGATGTTAGGAATCGTTCGTGTCCCTGAATTCTCAACTGGCCACCTTGTCTGGCTTCTACCAGGGATGGCTGGTGGAAGGTGGCAGCCATCCTTTTCGTTTCACACTGGGAATGGTTTCTGAATAGCAAATTGACTTGATAGAGAATTGCAACCAAATCAGCTTATCTTCTTTGTTATATAAATGCATCCTGCAGTTACCACTGGAAATGATTGGTGCAATTGTTTCTCCACGTATCCTCACATCTTTTTTTTTTCTTTTTCTTTTTTTGTGGGGCTGGAATGGATTCTTTCCCCTTTAGGATCTGATAGTTGATCAGACAATAGAGAAGGTTTCTTTCTGCGCGCCAGACAGGAACTTTGACCGGGCGTTCTCATACATCTGCCGAGATGGCACCACCAGGCGCTGGATATGCCACTGCTTCATGGCTGTGAAGGACACGGTGAGTGTACTGCGAGGCGTGCCCAGCTCCTTCTGCTTCCAGCTGGGAGTTACTCTGACAAAACGAACACGGAACACTGCAATGCATTTTAACTTCAGCTAAAATACTACTTTTTCCTTAAAAATTATTTTAGCTCTAATTCTTTATATCTGAATTATTTGCCGTCCCTCTGTGTTGTCTGCTTGTGCAGAGAAGCAGTGCCCAGCATGGTGTGGTGGAATGCAGTCAGCCTCAGATATGGGTAGCAGAAGGGAGCCGCTCTTCTAAAAATAGACAGAAGATATTCTCATCTGAAAATGTATACAGCCAAAAACTGGAACAGCAGTGACAGTTTTTCCAGGATAAGATCATAGTGAATAGGGTATGAATAGCAGGCTGGGTATGAATGTAGTCTCTTGTATGCAAATGCTGTCTTGAATGGAAAGTCATCTGAGTGCTAAGGGCTGGAGCTAGAATGAATTACATTAGGGTCCTGTTTGCTTCTAAACGTTAAGATATTTTTGCAGTGGAAGGTTTGTAATATCAGTCTTTTGCTTTGTAGACCTAAGTTATCTAACTCCCTGATCCAGCCTTCTCCTCTTGTGGCTTTTTGTTGAATCCTGCTCATGTATTACACAAGGGCTTGAAACCCCATGCAAATCCATTGAGATAACTCCACATAGCCATGTGTTGAAAGCAGTTATGTTTGTTAATTTATCACATTTCTTTAAAGAGAAACAGTGAAGTTAAACATTCCCATTTAAACTCACTAATGTCAGAGTTATGTTCTGCTGTGTATGCAGGTCAGTTCATTTACCAGTTATAACAGATGAGTTGAGCTGCTGTAGTAATAGCACTTGTGACTCAGCTGCAGCCTCCAGATCAGCTGGAGTGCCAGACTTCCTCCGACTTGAATTTCACTTCCTTACTGCAGTCATTGGGCAGTGGATCCTTTTGACCTCACTCATTAATAGTGGAAGTGCCTTCTGGAAAGCACTCAATACTGATTTTTTGCGTTTGGTCAGAGCCATTAAGAGGTATTAGTGGTCAGCTCTGCTTTTAAATTTCACATTTGCACACAACAGTGTTGTCTTCCTGCACGTTCTCTTCCATTTGAGAATAGCACTGATCTGTCCCTCAGGACTTAAACCTGCTAAGATGGCTCCACAAGTACTATTTTTCTGCAGAACGCATCTAGAGGCGAGGAGGGATCAGTGCAGGTACGTTATCACACTGCTATCATAGTAGCAGCTAAGCTAAACAGTCTTTCATTTCTGGGAAGCCTTCATGCTTGTGCACTGGTAGTTGTGACCCTTTATACGTCAGGTGTAGTTTTAGAGCTACACAAGGTGGCCAATTACAGTAGTTCTTTTTAATGTCTTAATTAGAGTCCTCTTGTAAAGGTGTGATCAGTTTGCAGTGTTGAAGTACATCTGTTCCAGTCACCACATGATGCAGTGTTGTCTTGTGCAGGGGGAAAGGTTGAGTCATGCCGTGGGCTGTGCGTTCGCAGCGTGCCTGGAGCGAAAGCAGAAGCGAGAGAAGGAGTGTGGAGTCACTGCCACCTTTGATGCCAGCAGAACCACATTCACTAGAGAGGGGTCATTCAGGGTCACTACAGCTACTGAACAAGCAGAAAGAGAGGAAGTTATGAGACAGATGCCGGATGCTAAAGGTAAGGGGTGCAACTTACACAGTCGTCCCCAGTGAGCAGAACCAGCACTGGGATTGACGTGGAGCCCCAGCAGGGATTGCAGCTTAACATCCATCCAAAATTCCCTCTCTTTAACCTTGTTATGTACAAATCATATTTCCAGACGCCTGTTATTTCACAAGATGAAAAATGCTCCCAGATTCACTTGTAGGGTAATCTTCCCATAAGAAAAGGTGCAAGGGGCTTTATGTGTGAAAGCAGCTGGACAGAGCTGCTCCTGCTCTGTTGTGTCAGTCTGCTTGATGGCAGAGAACATCATGGGCACTGTACTAAAAGGAAAGGCCTTATTAGAAACACGTTACTAAAAATGTAAGCAGATTGCCAAACTTTAAGCAGTCCTTTCTGTAGTCTAAGATTATTGTAAATAAAAAGAAAATTGTGTGATTTTTTAAAAAGCAATGTAATCTTATTTTGGTTTTTAAGGCAGGTTACAGAGTTTACATTAGTTACGTTGCAGGAGGGAAGAAGAGGGCAATCTGTGCTTTCTAAAAATGGAAAAAACAACACAAACCACCAGAAGCCACCTTACATTCAAAAATGGTAACTGGGTGATTGGAGAGGAATGGGTTTTACTACTTAGTCGTTTAAAACTTGGAAGTGTTCTCAAATTCAGTTGAAAGTAGAACTTCTTACCCAGATTTTGTTAAGTGATAGAGATAGCATTGTACAACTAGCAAAAAGATAAGTGTTATAAATATTACCCATAGCTCTCTTTACAGTGCAGTTGGACTTTTCTTTCAGAGGGTTCCAAAGCAAGTTTTGTTCTGCCACTCTTGCAAAACTTTAATCTTCGTTTTCATCATCCATCTGCTTGTTCCCATACGTTAGTTTTAGAATGTGTTAAATGAAGCTTAAACACAACGCCTTTGTTACTTGAGGGCATGAGTCAAAGTCTTGACTCAATGAAGGTGTGTGAAATCCTTTCCAAGGAAGACTGATTAGAAAAGTTTCACTTGAACGAGCAGCTGCAGCTCATGGGTACTGAAGCTTGCAAGATAACATGATTAGTTCCTCTGACGGTTCCAGCTCCTTCAAAATGCCTACTGTGACTCTTCGTTTTCCAGACTTCTACTTATTCTGTTGATGCATCAACCAAAAAATAGTCACTGTTTTTTGTATGAAGTTTGGAAAGTCTTCAGAATGCGGCTGGTGCCCAGCAAGGCCTGTCAGCTCAGTGTCTGGCTCTGCCTTGCAGCACGCTTCCATCTCTGCAGTGCTTTCCCTGGAGTTGCTGGGGAGCTGCTGTTTGAGTGCTGAATGCTGCCTAACCTATTAAGCTCTCACTCTGGCCTGCTGGAGCTTGTGTGGGCTGTTCGGCTGCCACTGCTGCTTCTGCAGGGATGGGGGGGGACGAGGACTTTTAAAGAATGTCCTAAAGCTGCTCTATTCCCTGCAGCTGCTCAACTGTACTGCACTCATTAACTGAGAACAGTCAGTAGTAGTATTTTGGCCTTGATCTGTTTTTATAGTTATATGGGAGGAAAATAAAGGTCGCACACAGTACACTTTTCAGTCTTAATCATAAATGAATTGCGGGTGTTTCCAGAGCAGTGTTCTCAGAAACTGTGAGAAAAGCTACATACATAAGGCCATCATTTCTAGGAAGCAGCTGGCCTTCGCAAGCTGTGCTTTGGGGGTTGGGTGTATGTAAAGTGGTGTGTGTGGTGAAGACTATGAAAGGAGAAGATTTTTCTGAAATGGCATTAGAAACCTTTTTGCCAGAATAGTACTGGTTATGCAGCTTCTCTTTACAGAACAAACAGGAGTAAGGGGCAGGCAGTTGAAAATACGTTGCTTTAGTCTTCTAACCTCACCCTGTTTTCTCCAACAGCTGAAACAGAAGTGAAGACAGCAGCAGCAGGTGCTGCCCCAACTACTACTGCCCCCTCTCCTGGCTCACCAGCTTCTCCTACTGCTGAAGTCACTGCCTCTGTGGAGAAGGAAATGAGCAACCCCCACGCTATCCCACGGAGGCACGCCCCTATAGAACAGCTTGCCAGGCAAGGCTCTTTCAGGGGCTTCCCTGCCCTTAGTCAAAAGATGTCTCCTTTTAAGCGCCAGCTGTCCTTGCGAATAAATGAACTGCCTTCAACAGTGCAAAGGAAGACGGATTTCCCCATGAAAAACTCAGGTAAAACCAAATGGTGAAACATTATCTTAAGTTGTATCTTTCTCCTTTTCTTGTCTGTGGCTTCCAATAACACAGTATTTTATAGTAAATTCTACTTCTGGAATATGCAAGAATTTCAAATGCACTATTCATAAGCAGAGGATAATCAGCTATAATAATTTTCTGAAATACTGGAACAGAGCTTGAAGTGTGCAGGAACAAGTGGTCATGTAACAGTGGGTACTGCTTTTCCTTCTGAGTCACTGATCCAATTTCTCTGCTTAATGCCAGGGCATCTAGAGAGTCAAGGCGTTACCAGCAGGCTGTGGGATCACTTGACATTTTTCTGCAGTCTGCGCTTCTGCCCTTCTGAATTCTTCTCTTTGAGAGGAATGAAACTACTTTTCACCTTTCGTTAAAGGAAACGTTACTGTTTGGGCAGTACAACTGTCTGTATCAGTAATGAGTGGTATGGTTTTCAGATGACAGAGTTGTGGTTTTGTAGTCATCCCAAAATAAACATCTGGGATGATCAGTACCTTGAGTATCATTCTAGAATCCCTTTAGCTAGGTTATCCTGCAGGACAGATGTACTCTCACGTGGCAGCAGAGCAAGTTTTAGGATTCTGAGTTTCAAAATTCAGATCTCTGTGGCAAAGAAGAAAACAACAAAAATACCTGATCTGATTGATCTTAGAATACTTGTTTAGTGACCGGTGCGTTAAGACCAGCACTGAGTTTATCAGTTTAACAGTAACAGTGCACTGCTCACTGGAGTTCGGCTGGCTGAGCACAAACAGTCTGAATTCTTCCTGACTCAGAGCATTTGCTGCATGTTGGTGTGTAGCCTGCTGTCATGCTGCAGGTGCTGTATTGGAATATTCCTCAAATAATCAATTTTTGGGAATGTCCCCTCCTTAAATTTTCCATATTGTCCTTGCTGTATCCAGCCATCCTATGGTTTTAATACTGTATACTGCTTAATTATGTCTGCCCAAGCCAGTTCACTGCAAAGAGGAACTGATGATCAGTGTTTTTGAAGAGCAGTGCTATTAGAAATAACGAGAACATCTGGTCGGTCAGTAGTCGTACTCCAGACGGTACTTTCTGTGCACTGTGCTGATACTTGGCTTACAGCCTGGTGTCCATTTCACTCTGTTTTTCATAATTTTAACACGGGAGTTAGGGCTTTCAGCTGCCACTGACCTGCAGCTAGCAACGTTCTGACTCCGGGCTTAACTTGCTGCTCTGTAGAGCTGGCAACGTGTTTATCCTTCATCTGGTTCCTGTGAAAGTATGTTGTTGGAAGAGTTTAACCCAGCCTAAGTATTTTCATTTCTCAAAATGCCAAATATTAGTGCCAAATCCTTCATATTTTTAGCACTTAATACAGAAAGATTTAGAACTCTGTTAAAGCTATAGAAAAACCTTTTATTTTCTGAACTAAACGTTCTCTTGCATTAACACAGAGAAGCAGCAAAAACCAACTTGAAATTTGGAACACTGATCTCTTACACTCTTGACTAAGTCACAAAATGCACTAATGGCTTTATATTTGTTTTTACTGTCAGGTCTTAAGCACCCAACTTAAAGACCAAACCATAAAAGCTGTCATGCACATCAGCAGTAGGAACACCTAAGAGATAGATAAATTATATTTCAATTTCTCCATGCCTTAAGCTTCATTTAACCAATTTTGTTGGCATTGCAGTCCCAGAGGTGGAAGGGGAAGTGGACAGCATTAGTGCCCTGTGCTCACAGATCACCAGTGCGTTCAGCACGCCGTCGGAGGACCCTTTCTCTTCAGCACCCATGACAAAACCTGTGACAGTGGTTGCCCCACAGTCTCCTGCCTTTCAAGGTCTGTGATTTCTTTGCTTGCTGTGGTTGTGCTGGATGAGGCTTGAGTGCACATAATGTTGCTTTCCAGTAACACATGGCCTTAATTTCTTGTGTAAGTCTTGTATCAGTATTTTGGAGTAATGCATCTTGTTTTATTCATCCCGTCTGTTTAGTTTTTATGTGGTTTTGTTTTTAACAAGAAGTTCACGCACCTACCACATGATAGTTACCTGTAAATGGGACTGGCTTTGAGGTCATGGCTATTTTAGCCAGTCTGCCACCTCCGCTGCAAAAATCTGAACAGTGGTGTGTCACAGGAACCAAATCCTGCAAGGGAGATTTTGTGCCACCTGATCACCATTTTTCACACAAACTCCTGAATAAGATGTGGAGATGCAAACTGTAGCACTCTTGGTAGCCTCTAATCTTCATTCCACCGATGCAGTTTTATGCAAGTAGTGTGGAAAAAGAACCTCTCCTTGTTAAATGTAGTGATTATTTTGCATCCAAAATCTGGTGTTCTTTGGAATCTAAATTTAATCACTCTGTAACTTCCTTCTGGTGAGCCATATCTCTTGGCTATAAAAACCCAACAAATTTAACTTTAGTTATCAGCGCTGACGATCTCATCAACTAAATAAAAATCCACCATCCCACAAATGTTAACAAGAGTTGGCTTGGTGAAATGGAATTTATGTGCCTCATCAACTGTCAGTCCAATTTGGCTAATTTACGCAAACTGCTGTCATGTGGAAGTGTTTAAAATTGTTGTATGTTAATGGTTATGACATGGCCCACTAATACTCCAGTCATGTGCATGCCTTGCATGAATTAATTGCACTGATGTTGTCTGCTCCCATTTTAGTTAATGGCACTGCCTCAGCCTTCTGTGTGCTTGCTGCTAAACCATCCCAAGCTGCTGTAGTGTCCACAGCTATGCCAGTTCGTGAAACCAATCCCTGGGCTCATGCTCCTGCTGCTAATACTGGAGCTGCAGCCATGGTCTCTGGTAAGACTGGAAGTAGATCCTGTTGCTTTGAGAGCTTGGATCAAAAGCATAATTGAGCTCCTGAGACGCCTGTGTGTGCCGCTTGATGAAAAGGGGAAGGAACAGGAACAAAAGCTGGAAGTAGTAGCCTTTTGCACAAGTGGATGGAGGGAAGCTATGAACTCGTAGGTTCTGGGTCTATCAGGTAGACGGTTTCTTATTTTGGCAGGGCTTTAGAAAAGCTGATGCTTTAAAAGGAAGCTATCTTATTTTCACTAAAATAGCGTGTGCTTGAGGGTGAAGGGATCTGTACATGGACCGCCACATGATTTTTGTGCATTGTTTCCAGTCAGAGATTACGTTTGGTACTTAAAAGCTTTAGAAATTGATTTCTTGTGTCTAATAAGTTTTAGTTTGTCGCTCCAGTTGTCTTTCATTCATATCCAATGCGAGGTAGTAATTTACCACTGTAAAAATAACGGAGAACTGACAGTTTTAACTAGTTGAGACAGGCCAAAGGAAGAGTACTGAGCAGTTGTTCACTTCCTCAAAACACTGAATAACTGCTTTTCTCATTACATTGAAGAGTTGGTGAGGTCCTATAGGAGGGAAAGAGAGTTTAAAACCACAGGGAGAAAGAAGACTAATTCAGCTAATGGATGATGGCTTTGAAAGGGGGAGAGGAATGGAAACTATGCCTTTTTTTTTTTTCACTGAAGATAAATGAGTTTAAATAGAGCTGTATTTGTAACAGCAAACTCTAAATTGTTAGAAGTTGAGGATTGCAAGAATTCGAAAGGGTTATCAGCCTGAGTTATAGTTTGAGACAGAAAAATGAATGTTGCCTTGAACTTCTTGTACCATTACATGGCAGTACTATAAAAGGGTAAAGCCTTAATTTAGGAAATAAATAAGGAAAACAAACCTTAAAAACAGTTTTTTAAAGATTAATGTTCTAACAATCCACCATTCCTGAGCTGTGTGTTCAGAAACTGATACTCCCATGTTAGAAGAGTTAGAGACTAGATTATTGCCACTGAGCAATAACGGCCTGCCCTAATATCTCAAATGCCTGCCATTGAAAAACAAACAAGAAAACAAATCAAATGCCCACAAAACAAAAATCTGCTCTTTAGCGATGAAACTTTTCCATCCCTTCTTGACCAACATCTATCTTCCCTTAAACAGAGCAGTACACTGGATGCAAAAAGGTGCTTCTGCTATTAGTAGTGTCTCAGCTGTGGAGGGAAGAGGCCTGGCTGCTGTTGTGCATCCTCCGGTCTGTCTCACTGATAAAAGGGTGAGGAGCGGAACCACTGATGACTTCCCTGTGCTTTCCTCCCCAGGCACCGAATGGAACAGCAGCACCCCAGGCACAGCCTCACCAAGTCTCTTCCAGGGAAATCACAGACGTACTCCCTCAGAGGCAGACCGCTGGTTGGAAGAGGTCTCAAAGACTGTCCGTGCCCAGCAGCAGCCAGCCCCAGCCGCACAGCCGCCGCTGCAGCCCCCTCCGGCCGCTTCCCAGGCAGCAGCCGCCTACCCCGTGAGCACCTTCATTGCGCCTCAGCCTGTGCCGGTTGGCGTGGTGCCGCCCATGCAGCCACCCTTTATTCCAGCTCAGCCCTACGCCGTAGCAAATGGGATGACCTACGCGGCGGCCCCAAGCGTACCTGTGGTGGGAATCACGCCTTCCCAGATGGTAGCCAACGTCTTCGGCACGGCGAGCCACGCTCCGGCTGCCCATCCGCACCAGTCGCCCAGCCTCGTCAAACAGCAGACGTTCCCTCAGTACGAGGCCGGCAGCGCTACGGCCAGCCCTTTCTTCAACCCGCCTGCGCAGCACAACGGCTCTGCGGCTTTCAATGGCGTTGACGGTGGCAAATGGGCTGCAGAGGACAAGCACCCCCAACCTCCCGCGGCCGCCCCGCAGGTAGACCCGTTTGAAGCACAGTGGGCAGCACTGGAGAGCAAGGCAAAGCAGCGCACGAATCCCTCCCCGACCAACCCCTTCTCGAGTGATTTACAGAAGACATTTGAGATTGAACTTTAAGCGGCCCTGTAGGCGGTGAATAACTTGTACATTAGGCTAGAGGGATAAAGGGAGCAGAGGGGACTGTTTCTCATCCATTTGCTTTGATAATCCCAAAGGTCCCTTCAAATGAAAATGGGTTAGAAAGAGGGAGCAATGATGGGGAGGATATAAATGTATACAGAATTTCACGTGCAGTTCTCAAAATGAACCCTGGAGCCACCTCGGTCTGCATTCCCTCTTCACTTGGAAAGCTGGAAGTCACACAGCAGAGCTGGGCGCCCGGTCCTGCAGAAGCATCATGTATCTCAGAAAGGATGGGAGACCTCAGACCTGCGACCTTCCAAGGCCCCGTAAGTCCTGGACATTCCCCCCCAGGGAAGAAGCAGGGTTGGGGTGGGGGAAGTAAGGAGGGAGGTTGTCACCTGCTTAGCAGAAGCCAGGTCTGTGAAAAAAGTTGGGCTTCCATTTTGAGTAAAAAAGTGAATATTATATGTAAAGACTAAAGTAAAGCCAAAATCTTTATTTTTATGCATTTAGAATATTTTAAATAGTGGATATTAAAAGATGTATGAGTTGTAAGTAATCTTGCCAAAGGTTTAAAAAAAAAAGGGGGGGGTGAATGTAAGAAATTGTACATAAGATTGATTTATCTCCAATTCTTATTGTAAGTAACGTTGGGGGGTGGAAAAAGGGGCCCTAGCTTGTTCTTGTATCTGTTCATTGTAAGTAGCATATTGCAACAACAATCACAACCAATAAGTCATTATATTGTAGTTTTAAATAATGAAAATTTAAGAACAGTATTGTCATGGTCTGAAAACCATGGGGAAAATTAACTGTTTTTTTATTGGAATCAAGCTACATATTATATATAGTACATTTTTTTTTCTTCCATGTATTGCTGCAGTTTTCTTGTCTTAATCTATTGGTTCTAACACTACTGTGACAAACTTACTGTAACCATATCTAACATCCTGGGGCTGCCTAGGAACCCATTTTTTGTTTGTCTGTCAATAGATCTTAGAGGTTTTTTTAACTTTTGTTTTTATTTTTTCCATGGATTTGTGAAACCTTGTGGTAAGGCTGCAGCTGGTCCAGGTTCTGCCTCTGGTGACTTGTGAAATCCATCTCATTTTAACTTTACTTTTAAACTTTGGCCTTACAAGCAAATGTAAGTTATATATATTTGTACTGATGATTTATAATCTGCTTTAACAGAAATAAATGTTGGTGGTAGAAGCACTGTCTGTGAAAGGCTTTATTTCCCCTCTCCCCATTTGATTTTCAGAATTTGCCCTTCTGGCTCATGGTATTTTAACGCTTCTCATTTTGTACCCCACATTATGTTACCTTGAACTTTAAGACTGAACTTGCAAATATCCATTTGACCCATAGCTATTTAAAGCTCTGCAAAGGGGAGTTTTATGGAAAATACTGGTTTCTGGGTTGGCAACACTGAATTTTCTAACATTGAACATTTACAAAGATGAAAACACAAACATTCAAAAACAGGTGAAAGGAATACTCACTTGGGTTTTCTTTTCCTTTGCTATTAAAAAGGAGTGAGGATCCTAAGAGCTGCCCAGGATGACACCATATTTTCACTCCTTTCTGTTCTCCTAGGAAGCTGATACCCATCCTATCAAGTGTGGTTGGTTTTTACTGCATGCTTACTTACATGAAGTAGTGTTAGACATATTGAAAAATACCAAGAAGTCAGACTTTGTAACCTGAAAGGAGAGAAATGCTGCCTTGCATTGGCCCTAGCATTTGAGCTTGCCAGCAGTTTCCATTTCCAGGCAAGTACAGAGGTGGGCTAAAAAATGGGGGCTTTTTTCTTTACTGGTTCTTTCTTACCTTAAGCATACCTGTGGAGTACAGCACCAACAGTAATCCCCAGCATACTCTATGGTATTGGAGTTGGTATCTGTGCTTATTTGACTTTCAGAAAGCTAGCAAATAGTTAGTCGCACAAGCTGAGAGATCTAACGTTGGTTGGTTTGTGGTTTTTGTGGGTTTTTTTTCGTTTCTCCTACTAGTTCCTCAGTCTGTCAGAGCTGTACCCAGAGATCAGATGGAAATAGCTACACCCTTCCTCTGCCTGGAAGATAAGGGTAAAGGGGATAGAGATGACCTTTGTTTAGAGAAGAAAACCACTATCTTGATTCTCAAATCAAATAATATAAACATTTGATTAGGACGTTAAGTGATGATACTACACAGAAAAAAATTCTCTCCTTGCTGAATAGGAAAATACAAATGCACTGCTTTAGTTAACTAACTGTTAGAGCCATGGCACGTATTTAAAGCAACAAACTGTCTTCAGATCCCGTCCTTATTACCATGGTAACACATCTGAAAGGAGGTCAGGTAATAAATGAGAGAAAAAAAAATAAGAAAGTTCCTTCAGTGTTAAAGTCCAGTCAGTCAGAACACAGGTGCCCACTACAGCTCTCACCAGGTTGGAGACAGAGCTCCCTGACCGTGCTGTGTCTAATCATATGGCCTAAATGAAAGCTGACTGCATTATTAGAAAACAGGGCCCCTGCAACAAAGAAAGGGAGGATATTACAGAAGTAACAGCTCATTCTGGGAGAAAGGCATCGTCAGGCACCATCCACTTGGAACCGCCTTCCTGAGGGGGCTCAGAGCCCCTTGCTGCCCTCTGTGCCTGCCACACAGGACTGGAATTTACACAGCCTCTCATCAGTCCATGGTCTCAAAAGGCAGAGTCATACCATATTGTAAAATATCCTGTACCAAAAAACAAAAATGTGCCATTCTGCAAATTTATGTACAAACCCAATTAGACTATCTCAGGCATTCGGTCCTTATGTAGTCAATGAGTGCAACTTCATAATCTCTAACTGTAACATTCTGTGACTTATAGCAGAGGAAGCTTTTCCTAAATACCAAATTAAAGAGTCTTTTGCTGCAAAATGAGGCTGTCTTTCCTAGCAAGCAGAATCCATCACTGACCTCAAAAAACAAAAACAAAAACAAACAAAAAAAAGCTTTTTAACTGTCTGTAACCTCTTGCTCCTTTACTGGACTGCTTTTAGACTATTCAGTTTGTTCAGATCTTAAAGCACTGAGTGCAGTACTGAAGCCACACCTGTGCTAAGAGAGGGCAATCATTAGGTTGGTAATTCTTATTTTTAGATGCAGCTGAACTGATTTACTGGATTTAGAGTTCAGACCAGCTTTAGGCTGCCAAGCCTGGGGATTTACACCCACATTTTACTGCTGCCCTGAGTGCTGGTTCTGGACTGAAGGAGAGGAAAGTGGTGTGATCACAGTCCAGAATTAGCTTCCTTCCATAGAAGCCTTAAATTAGAGAAGCAGAAGTAGGAAAAAAAAACAAAAACAAAAACACAACACAACCTAAAAACAACACACTAAAAAAAAAAATCTGTTGCAAAAAATAGCCCTTACTACCCACCTGCAAACATCAACATCAGCACTACATATCAGTGTACCAGCAAAGAAGTATAGCTACATCTATACATCCAGTAAATGGTGCTAATTAATACCAGCAACCCACCCAAGACTCAGAAGGTAGTGCAGAATGAGGCTTCTTCTAGGGCGAGTGCTATGGAGAAAGAATATTGAGGCTGTAGAAAAAAAATGGTTTTACTTGGAAGGTCTAATTCTGTTTTGAGTTACTGAAGATGCCATGTGCCTTTGCTGGGACAACAAACCATCCTATACTTACCATCTTCCACACACACATATCTTAATTCCTGGGGATTTCTCTTCCAGTGCCTCATGCATGCTATTTGCCACTCTGTGTTCAGTCTTAGTTCAGACAGGAGGGATGCTTTTCAACTGTAACTGCTTTGCCTCTGTATCTGGAAATCCCTATTTGTTAGCACATAACAGCAAGAATCAGCCTAGGCCACATGCAGACCCGAGTGTTTCTGGAGCTTACTGACAACACAGCAGATCATTGGGAAATTTATTCTAGCAGGACAAGTATCCCTACACCTATTTACTTATGTATATTACTCTCCTCTCCAAGTTGATACCCGGCACAGTGCTACCAAAAGCCCATATTTGCATTAAATTCAACAGCACGATTCTGGCTCTGGAAAAAACCAAACTAACTTCATAATACTTGCCAGAGATATTGATATTTAATCTGCATCATCTCAGAACATACTATAGTGTTATTATGTTAATGATCCCTACCATTCAGAAAAGGCTAAACATATTCTTCCATTTTGTCCAAAGCTTTCTGTGGAGTGTTGCTTCTGCATTTCAATCCAGAGCTGAATACATTCAAGTGGAAACCAAACTGACCCAAAAATAAATTCTGTTTAGGAGCACTGTAATAAAACAGCTACAGTACGTAGCTGCAGTAGGTGACATCACAGCTGCATCTCTAGATGCAATCCTACAGCACCTGAATGCTGATTTTAAACGCACCAAGCTGTTTGTCATGGTCAGATTCCTTTGCATTTAGAGGCAGCGTGCTCCTCAGCATTATAAATGTTCCTCAGTCATTAGTCCTTTTGTTAAGATAGTTCAGGCCCATCTTAAGACACTTCAGCCTATGGTGCTTTTTTGAGCTACTGTCTTTTTCTTATATGAAGAATCTTTCATACTGGTTATCTGCCCTCTCTAAAATCATTTAGAGAGAGTATTCCCAGTGCTACCTCCTTCTGCGAAAAGCAGCAACTACCATTACATGGAGAGATGGATGAGCTATTGCAAGGCATACAGGAGTCAGAGGAAAGAAGTTTGCAATAAACCTGAGGATGGTGGTTCTCCCACCTTCTGGCAATTACACCCTACACCATTAAATCCGCCCTCTTGAGCTCCCAGAACAGTTTCATGCAGTAGAAGGACAGAGTTCAAAATTCTTGTCTTGTCACCTGCTGTTCCACACGGCCTTGGTGGTGTCTGTCACCCACTGCGATGAGGAGGGCTGGCGAGCGGTTGGTAGCGAGAGCAGCTGGCACAGCAGAAGCTGGCATAGTACTCGTTACTGCAGAGCTGGGCCTGCACGATCAGGCCACAGTTGGCGAGGTGCGGCTGGTCCACGCATTCTCTGCTCAGGTCCACAACGTGATTCACACTTGCTGCAGCCAAGTAAAAGGTAAAGCCAGCTGAAAACACGGCCAGGGCTTGCTCCCAGGTTTATCTTCCCCTCCCTAGAACCACAGCAGGTTCCCGTTTTCTCCATCCTTCCAATTCTAAGGAGGATTGTTTTATTACAGGCAAATCAAGGACCAGAGAGAGAAACTGACAACTCTGGTTAGATAAAGAAAGAGAAGGCAGTTTCTGGGACTGATTCCCAGTGCCTTGGTGGGGGGCCGTTTCCACCACCCTGCTCTCACACCCACCCAGAGGCTCCTGCTGCTCCCCAAAGCCCAAGACTGGTGGTGGATGGGCGCACGATGGGCAGCCTTCCAGTAACGGCCAAGAGGCAGCTCTGTGCCAGGAGAAGTGGGGAGGACAAGTTGTACTCACTGCTGGGCCTGCTCCTCAACACTTTCACCTCTGTGCTGGCACTGACAGAGTTGCTGCTGCTGTAGGCGCTGCATGTGTAAGATCCCTCGTCAGCCAACTGGACGTTGCTTATAGTCAGGCTTCCATCCTGGGACAGGTGGATACGGTGGCCATCTGCCCTCACCGGGACTCCATTTCTGTAACGAGAAGTGTTTTGTATCACTGCTCCCACTCCTGGTCACTAAAGGAGCTCTTTGTGCTCTTTGGAAACCGATGCTCTGTGAAAAGGGTCAATTAGTACAAACTCAGCACAAAGCAAGAAGTCTTATTTTGCCTGGCTCTACAATTATGTAGGAATATGAACCTGAGCAATTCTACATCCATTAGTCTACTGCCACTGTGGGAGGTAGCTAGCTGTGTGCTCTGTGTATGGTCTTTGTCCTTTCCAGTATGACACATTTTTGAGGTTTGAGGAACTAAAAGAAAAGCCACAGTGACTTTTCCTCTCTCCAGGTTGTGGTCTGGCAGCCTTGTTTGGCTGGCATTAGTAGCTTACGCACATTGCCTGATGAACATATGGGGTAGTGAGCAATGTAACCTTTTTCCCTTAAAAGCCTGTTTAAAAAAATGTTAAAATATCAGCAAGAATGCAACCATTCTGTTCTTCCTGGAATACTCTGTGCACGGCCAGAAAACTGCCTGAATTATGAACTTCTAGTTACCAAGGAAAGTAAACTTTGTTCACTGAAAAGAGTTTCATTCATAGCCTGATACTTCAACCATTTTGTTGACTCAAATACCAAACTTTCATATGGAAGAATAGCTCTCTTTGTGAGATGGCCCGCTTCAGTCCAACCCCTTGGATCACAGGGATTGAAACAATTGCCAAACCATGTTTACGGATCTTTTGCAAGAAAGCTCCAAAATTGAACTGATTATTTTCAAATGGGGGAAAAAAAAACAAAAACACACCAAATCCACTACATACTTGGACAAATTTGGTTTAACTATTAAAATATCATGAGAAGAAGACAAGTCTTCTCTTACTGTTACCAAAACAGTGTGAATTGCCATTCACTCCCATCTGGCAATAAAGGGAGAGAATTGTCATAGCACGAATCTGAGAGAATAGATGCTGTTATTGTAGAGGCTAAAATGTTTGCTAGGGTTAGTCACAGAGAGTTTTCTAAAGACCAATTATAAGTCATCTTCCAGTTACTCACTTTGATTTTTGGTATTTTATTGTCATTTGCTTGCTAGCATGGAGCTCCTCTGAGCTCTATGAAATCTTACCTTAAAGTTTGCCTCTCTACTCATTTGACTGAAATGCAAACTCGGTGACCACTGCCCATCAAGATTTTGCTGAAGATTTCTGGTTGACATTAGGTGGATTAGGAAAGGTTAGATGATGCCATCTGGAGCTGCGAACCACAGCTCTCTCCCTTGCCTAGTAGGCATCCTGCATTACGATTTGGAGGATAAGTGATGAGGTTCAAGAAGAGACGAGAGAAAAATTTCATATTGCTTTTGCTCACCTTGACCACCTTATATTCACATTGTTGCCAGTCACTGTACAATGAAGTTGAGCAGTTTCTCCTTCAGATACCTTGATGCTTGGCAGATGACCAGTAATCCTCAACCCTCCTAAACCAGAAGGTAAACAGTTACCAGCAAGAATACAGTGCTATGCTGCCCCAGGAAGGAAAAGCTTCTAGGCCTTGAACCAGCATGTTTGGAACTACTGTAGGATATATGACATTCCCTGTAGCAATAGCTAAGGGCTTTAGCCCAAGCCAGGGCAAGAAATGGAGATTTCAAAGAGATTTTTTCCTCCAATTAGACAAACGCAGTACATCATAGGCAAAGAAGAACTGCCTCTTTATTGCCTCCTGCTACTACCATACGTGTTCCATGCCAGAAATGAAGCCCAAGAGCCACTCTCATATTAGCAGTCCCACCTCAGCTGTCTAGAGCACCATGACCTACTGATACATGAGAATACCATTGGGAAAACTGATTCAGTCTCCCCTTACCCACAAGCTGCCTGTTAAACGTTAGGTATGAAGTTAAGAGGCATGGCCACAGGAGAAACCCACTCCGTCCAGCCCTTCCTGTTTCACACTTGTGTGCACAGACATGCAACACGGCCACCCGCCTGGTACCTAGAGGTCGGAGCAGGACCTGGCGCTGGTCCTGGTCACGTCCATTCGAGGCGATGCAGGTAAAGAAGCCGGCGTCCTCAGAGCTAACCCGGCTGATCACCAGGGCCCCATCTGACTGCTGTCTGTGTCTGATGGACAAAACCACAAATCCCCTCAGCTTGTGTTTGAGCCATGATACGATTCCAATCACCAGAAATGAATCTGTCTTACACACAACTTTGCAGTAACACTAAGCAAAGGTATGGCAGCAGCTCAGTTCAATTCACAACACAGCCTCTGGTCTGTAGACTCTGGATCACAGCTCTTTATCTGAGAGCTTGAAGTCCAGGCTCTGACCTGTGACTAGGGCAGTAGGACGGCATTGTCTGGCCCTGACAAATGAAACTGCCGAGCACAAAGCACAACAGTCCCTCTCTGCACTGGCCAGCAACGATGTTCCCTCAGAATGGGGCTCTCCTCCCCACAGCCTGCTGCAGGAATAGTAAAGCCAGCTGGGAGCTCACCTGGGAGGGGAGATGGGCCGCCCATCTTTCTGCCACTCAATGGTGAGAGTTGGAGATGCTTCCACTGTGCAGGGCAGTCTGACTCTCTCCCCAACTTTGGCCTCCACTACTGAGGGCTCGCTCTTGTCCATTCTCAACCTGCAAAGTCCATAAGCACAACAATGCAGCAACCTCCTTGTTCAGTATCTGACCTTCAGCACAAGGCCTTCTTAATCACAAGCCTTCTTTTTTGCCTCCAATGGGAAAGGGCGGTCTCCGTGCTCCCATCAGAATTTGCCATTAACAACATTCACTCTCCTCAGAAAAAAAAGCAGCCTTTATCAAATCCTGCTACAGATCAGCACAGCGTGGTGCTGCACTCCTGCCAGACAACTTAACCCTTCAGAGACAGCAATTCAGAGCATCTCTGTTACTTATAACACCCCTCTGGCTAAAACCCTAAGGAAGTGTTAGCAACATAAATACACAGCAACCGGCCTGGAGAACGGGGCACCAAGTAAGCTTCTCTCAAGGTGCAGATAGCAAATACTTTTTTGGGGTGTGAAGAGTCCACTGGAATCACCAGCCTGACTGCATGCAAGGGTATCCACTGCACACTGCAGAAAGGCTGGGCATGGGCTCTCACATCATCCATCTTCTTGTGCTCTTTGCTTTCTTCTGACTACCGATAAACACCATTTCAGAAGGGAACTAAACCATGATGTTCCCAGAGGCAAAGAAAACATCATCTCCCCCACCCCCATTCTCTGACCTGAATTCTTGATCTCAAAAAACAAAACCAAAGAGCCTTAATTCAGTGCTTTTATAATTCAATGAAACACTTCTTTCTGCATTTAGGCAAAAGCAGCTAAGGGGGTTGCCGGGGATTCAGCATATTGGCTGGATTTTAGGCTGCAAACTCAATAGAAGAGAGATCAGATCATATCCCATTTAGTCTAGAGCCCCAGTGTTCTGCATTTAAAATGAAAATAACTTTTAACCTTTTATTTCTGCAAGGCCTAGAAGCACCAGAGAAATATGCAAGAAACCACAAAGTATGCCAAGCAGTACATGAAAAGATAGCTTGGAGTCGAACTTTTTGTTCACAAAATACTTAAAATAAACTGTCAGAGGCTAAAGTATCCTACAGGTTGTTTTGTTATTTATTTATTTTTAATATATATACGTACGTCTGTTTTGTAGTAATCAAGCAGTTCCCTCCTGCTTTGCTTTTTTCCAGAATGGGTTTCTCTTTCTGACTACACTAACTTGAACAGCTAAGGACAGTCCCCCCAGCATTTCTGTATTTGTCTGAACCTGGATGCTTTGTTGTCAGCCTCCCTGGACATATTTGCTAAGGATATGCCTCTTTCAAGGGACCCTTGGGAGAACAGCAGACAGCTTGCAACTGGGATTTTTGCCTGCTCCTATTGTCAGCAGTTCAGTATTCCTCGCCTCCCAACCATGCCCAGAACAGCTGATCCAGGACCTTTCCAATCTTCAGTTTTTCTACATGAAGAGATGCCATATGGTTCATCAGCTGGGCATGGTGGACAAACTGTTGCTGTATGAACTTACCTATATGTGAATTGCTGATGCACAGAGGAACCGGCTGCCTGTACAACCTTTCCGCCTCTGGGTAGCTCTCGGTGCTGCTGATTTTCCTTGTGAAGGACCTGACCTCTCTCACCCTCTGCCAGAACAGCACTCTGGTACTCTATTCAAAATAAAATGCCATATGTGAATAAAAAGACCGTTCTTACTGTGACCTCTTGCATAGGGCTTTCTGTGAGCTTGGGAGAGCTCGCTGAACTGGAGCCAAAGAACCCTTCAGCCATCTGTTTTCTGACTGATGCAGTAAGCCTGTGCTGCCGACTAATGAGAGTCACAGACCTGCAGGCAAGCAATTTTAGACTCTTTTCTCTCCTCTGTTATTGAATATGTTGCAGTATTCCTTAGGCCACGCTGCCTTCTGCCCCCCATGCCATTGCTGTGACACGGTACATCTCACAGACTTAAGGCCACCAAGAGTGGTTTGCTGGCCCATCTTTTTAGACTGATCTTTTGTATTTTTTCTGGATTTGCGTCTTAAATATGGCATGTTTTTTGAAACAGGGAATAATTTGTTACCTAGGTGGTCTTATTTGGCCAAAACACAAACATGAACAGCTATGTAATCCAGTCACACCATACTATGAGATTGAGGGTACAGGAAACCCCTTCTCTGGAGCCTTCTGCCTGGGACCAGAAGGCAGCTGATGGCTCTCAGAGAGGACAACATGCTTGCTATGCTGGAAATGGTACAGGTTACAGATGGGCAATAATTCCAGGTACGAGGTGGCACTGCGGGTGGGAAGTGCTTTAGGGTAAGGGCTTTATCATAATGTAACACCAGAAGAAGCCCTATTACCTCCACACTCTCTTGGTTCCTGCACTGCAGAGGAGATCTGCTGCTATAACTTGCCCTAGGAACAGCACTGCCATGGGGTAAAGGCAATGCTGCTTGCACAGTGTGGCAGCAGAGGAATTTTGCCCCTGTTGTCAGTATCAGTTAATGAGCAGCGCTGAGCTACCTCTTTTGTAAAAGAGGTAGTAGAAGATATATGATGTAAGTGGAAGATGAATTACCTATGATCTGTAACTGAATCTGCCGCCGTCTCTCTGTCCTCCCATCAGAAATGAAGCATGTGTAAGTCCCAGCATCCTCCAGCTTGACGTGGCTGATAACTAAAGAGCTGTCAGACTGGTAGGTGTGCCTACAACAGGAGTAGGAATCAACTGCCTCTGCCTGGCCAAGGACAGCAACTGGCCGGGGCAGAGTGGCCCTTCCTGCTGATGTTACGTAAACCGCCACCATGAAGTGCCCTCCCCAGCTTAGTAAAAAACAAAACCCTGTTGACCACAGCAGGGTCACAGGCAGCGGAAATAACCGCAACAAAGAAAGGAGGTCAGGAACAGAGAGGAATGGGAAAACAGGGAACTGCTTTCAACAACCCTCTCCCATGAGAAGGCAAACTGCCCTTCCAGGCAGGAGCCTGAGCCCCAGCAGTCATTCGCAAACAGAAAAGCAGAACTGAGCTTTTCTCAACAACTGCAATTTTTGTAACAAAAACTGACTCTCTGGATCCAAACTGTTGCAGGAAACAGACTTCCCATGAAAAAATAGGCTTTAAAAATAATTTTAAAAGCATTGCATCTTAGATGGCAGTGCCAGAAACTTCTAGCCAGGGGAACTCCTGACATACTTGGCCACGGGCTTCATCCTGGACTAGTTAAGTAGTGTTTCAGGCAAAATCCTACACAGCCAACATTCTTTCCCACCGATTTGGGGCAGCACTCATTCTGACCCGTAAGACTATCTGGTGCCTCAATACAGTTGTAGGGTATACCTGTTTCTGCTGTCTATAGATCAGGTGGATAGCTCATTTTCAGGGGTGTTCCTAGTTTAATACATGGGCTTGTTTATTTATTAATCCTTTTTATCCCCTCCAAAGAATGTTACCAATGAGATTAGAAAGAAAGTGGACAAGCATAATTGGCACTCTGCTCAGCAAGGACCATGAACTGCTTTGTAATGAAGGGAGTCGAGCTTACCTGTCAGAGGAAACTGGCCGGCCATCCTTCAGCCACTCCACCCTGGAGAAGGGGGACATGCTTGCCTTGCAGACCAGTTGAATGTTTTGTCCCTTGTCTGCTGTCACAAGAGAGGGCTTGGCTTCCTCCAGAATGGCTCTGAAAGAGAAAGGGATTCCAGAGACCCCTCAGCTGCTCTTCTCTCCTTAGGATCTTCCAATGTGACTATAGACAACCACAGTGTAAAGCAGGACTAGCTGCCCATTTAGCTCTGAGCAGAGGCAGCATGCAATACAGCAAGTCTTCTCCTGCACAGCAAAGGCTGGTCTGGATAGACTGAGCACTACAAGCAATCCACCAGGTGTCAAGGAGACAGCCATAGCTATGTAACTCTCTCTTCTGAGAACTAGGCTCAGCTCAGCAGATTGACAGAGACACAGACCCAGACATATCTAGCTCTACACAACCTCGATTTTCACTGTGACACTCTCTAGATCCTGACCCAAACTGCATTTTAAAGACTTTCCCAGAACAACTCACTCCTTCTCTGTGCAGCACTGAGATAAATGCTGCGAAGCCAGAGTCAGGTAAATTTACTGGTCAGAATGAGCAAACCACCTACGGATTTTCATTTACAGTATGCCTCTCAAAAGAGGGCCTCAGCATCCTGCATTCTTTTCATGCTTCTTCCAGTGCTGTCAGCATAATGAAAGTGCAAGGAATGAGAAACCAGTTAACTCCAAGGCCTGGATAATATGATCTACCAAAGCCAATATATAGCCAATCTGTCACAGGGTCAGCTGGGCTGGGCCTATGTTTCCACTGCAGAGGAAGCTGCACTGATGCTTCACAATGAGCAGACTGAAATGACCAAAAAATAAAATAAAATCACCTGTGCAGATTCTGTGCTGGGAAGGAATCTGCAGACACCTGGTGCCCAAAGCTTTCGATCACAGAAGCATCTGTTCCAGACTCCTTATGCCACTGCTTGCCTTCATGTGGCAGCACCTGTTGGCCACTGCTACTCTGCTTTTGGGAGGGCCCAGGCACTGCTGTTTCCCTTGTCAAGTGCAGCTGGCTCAGGCTTTTCAATCTACTTTGCTGGGCGCCCCATTGCTGGCTCTCCATCACACCAGACCTTCGTGAAGCTTCTGGCAGCACCTGCCTTCTCCAGTAGTTCTCTCCATGTCTGCCCTGTGTGGGGTGTGAAGCCCCGTAGGATCTTCCTTCTTGGCCATGACTTGAAGACTCTCTTGGCAGGGGCTGCTGCTTACCCTGAGCAGTGCCCATATGAAAACGAGAGCCAGTATCCTGCTGTCGCAGGGCGCCTGTGCCAGAAGAGGGCTGGTGCTCCAAGGGACTAATCCCCACAGAGCTATGACACACTCTCATGCATTCCTCCTCTGAGGCAAAGCTGTTTTTATTGCCGTGGCAGCCGCCATACCAAAACCGGTTGCACTTGCCAACAACAGTCACAAAGTACCAGCGAGTGGTCCAGTTCGCACAGGGGCCGTGAGCACTGGGCAGCAGGCACATGACAGGATATGCTGCCAGAAAGAACAGAACAGAAGGGCATGTGAGGGTCATGAAACACAAAGGTCTGAGTGCTTCAAGCCACCTGCCTAAATGATGGGCCTTGCAGGCAGTGTTGGTAGAAAGGTGGGACGCCTGAGTTTTGCACCCAGCTGTTCTGAAATAGGACAGCTGCTCTGATGTTTCCCTCCATCTTAGTTTTCCCACTAGCAGAAAGAGAACTCAGCTCAGAGACATTTCTGAGCCTAAATAGTTATGGCCTTTCCAGGGAATCCTGCAGCTATAAGGTTGGTCTTGGGGCTTCTTCCATGAGGGGCACATGGCCGTCATATGCACATTTTCAGCCCACAGAGCAGGTGGATTAGACCCAGTTGTGAAGATCCATGCATTGCAGAATACTCCTGCAAATAAAGAGGACCAAAAGGTGTCTGCGAACATTCTTCTGTGCTCTGAGTCACAAATATCAGAGTCACATCTGACAAATGCTGATGCAGGGCTCTGACTGAGAGGCCCTTTGCTGAGCTGTGGCAGAGCAGAGAGGACAGGCAGACCTTTCCCTTTCCCCAGGGCAGTCTCACAGGGCTGGTGACCACGCAATCCCTATGCTGCAGCAAAAGGGGAAAGCAATGCAGCAGCAACCTGCCTGCAGAGGATACAGCTGGGAACCACAGGAGCGGAGATGCTTTTGCTTAGCACCTCTAGCATCCTTGTAGTATAGTAAGCACTGTCCCCCACTGATCTCTGCTGGTTAAATGTCTCCACAGAGCCCTACACAGCAGCTCCATCCTTAGCTGTAGTTCTTATTCCAACCCTGCCCAAATGGGGTTGTCTGAAAGCAGAGCATGGCCCCAGTTCCTCAGAGAAGGGCCTACTTCACCTAAACTCAGGTAATGAATTTGGAGAACAAGGCTATACCAGGTTGTCTTCCCAGGGTGAAACAGCCCCTACACACTGACAGAGATTACACAGAATTCTGTTCAAACAACAAAAGAGGAAGATAAGAACTTCTGTGGTAGCTAACCTGGTAGACAAGAAGCTGGACATAAGCCAGCAGTGCGTGCCTACAGCCTGGAAGGCCAACTGTGTTCTGGGCTGCATTAAAAAAGGGGTGGCCAGCAGGGAGAGGGAGGTGATTGTCCTCCTCTACTCAGCTCTTGTGAGGCCCCATCCAGAGTACTGCATCCAGGCCTGGGGCTCTCAGCACAAGAAAGACATGGAGGTCTTGGAACAGGTCCAGAGAAGGACCACTACAATGATAAGAGGCTGGAGCACCTCTCCTATGAGGAAAGGATAAGAAAACTGGGCTTGTTTAGCTTGGAAAAGAGAAGGCTCTGGGGAGATTTCATTGTGGCCTTCCAGTATTTGAAGGGAGCATATAAACAGAAGGGGGTATGACTGTTTACAGGGGTGGATAGTGATAGGACAAGGGGAATGGTTACAATCTAAGACAGGGGAGGTTTAGGTTAGATATTAGGAGGAAGTTTTTCCACACAGAGGGTGGTGATGCACTGGAACAGGTTGCCCAAGGAGGTTGTGGATGCTCCATCCCTGGAGGTATTCAAGGCCAGGCTGGATGTGGACCAGGGCAGCCTGGTCTAATGGTTGGCAACCCTGCACATAGCAGGGGGGGGCTGAAACTAGATGATCACTGTGGTCATTTTCAACCCAGGCCATTCTATGATTCCCTTTAACCTTCCCTATCCCAGCCATGAGGCAGAATTTGTTTTCAAGGAGACCATTCACTACAATTTCCAGAGGTCAGAACTTCTACACAGGAAGTTTCCAGATGGTACTGATTTCAGTGTGATTGTTCCTGTGTTTCTAACCAAACAAGTCAAAACATCACTTACGGTAGTTGGGCCTATTGAGACATCCTTCCCCTTCAGGACCTGAAGCCGAAGCGACACTGTCAAAACAGCAGCCGTACACTGAACTGCGGCACTCGCCAGAAGGGTGCTGCTGGGATAAGGCTTGGCTTGCCTTAGAGACAGGAATTGAAAGCCAAAAGTTATCATGCATACATGAGGGCAGTAGCACATGCAAAGCACCATGTCCAAGCTGTTGGCTGCAGAATGCCAGCTGCTAGAAGAATCACTGCTCATTTGTTTGCCTCCTAGAGGCTTTCATGCTGGCAAGGGCTGGGAAACTTGGCTGTTAGCCATGAAGCCAGTGCTGCACTTCTCTGCAAAACACACCTAGCCAGCCTAGCAGGAGATCAGATTTTTCAAATGGCCCCACCAGACACCCCAAGCTATTTGAGAGGAATTTCCTCCCTAAATATTTTATCCTCAATTAACCTGCAGAGATGACAAACAAGGACAATTGTTAGTGGCAATATTTTTCTGTATTCTTTTTCTCCCAGAGATTGGATGGCAAGTTTCCAACTGACAGAAATTTCATTACTCAGGATTATTCAGCCAGTTCTACACAGGATGCTTCTCTCCTTCTCAGACAATTCCCAACCACTCTCTCTGTGCCCTGCTTACAGAGGATCACAAGCAGATGCTCCAGACTGAACAGGAATGAAGTACGCCAAAGGGCTTCATGCCATACATGGAATATTGGTCATCCAACATTACTGGGACAGATGAAGTACAAAAGAAACACACAATCTGAGTCATCAGGGTCAAAATTGAATCTTCACATGTAATGGGCAGCTAAAACCCAAAGGGTTTTTGTACTTACTGTTGGAACAGCTGTAGCAGGCTGATTTCTTCTCATATGAAAATCACTGTCATGCTGTGAGCATCCCATGTTGTTTGGACCTTGGGCAGCTGATACTCCATCAGGACAGCATCCATACCTACAGGCAGAAGGCAGAAAGGCTGCAGCAATATCTGACCTGCTTGGTTCAACAGACACAGACTGTAAATTCCAGTAAGCCTCCAGGAAATGCAGTGCCTCCCTGCTCAGGCCCATTTACTCACAGCTACCTGTTTTGGTGACAGGTGTTGAAGGAACAACCTCTCCCTGAAGGGCCTGAAGCTGGAGTGTGCCCATCTGGACAGCAGCCATGTGGGGTCTGATAACAGTTCTGAGATCCAGTTCTTGCAGTGGGGTACTGAGTGATGCTGAGCTGATAATTTGATGATTGTGACTGGGATTCCCAGCGAACAGGCAACAAGTTGATGCCATGGTCCTCAGTGGAATTGATCTGGTGATTCCCAGAGCTGCTGTGAACTGTGGAACTCCCAGGGAGCAACCTTCCATCACCAGAATCTGTGGAAATAACACCTTACAGCATGCAGGTGAGCATCTGCTATCTTTTACCTGCTCAGAGCTATAAGGCAAGCTTTTGTGTATCAAGGTTTCACCTGAATATGTGTCTTCTGGCTCTTCCTTCTGAATTTGGTTGCTCTGAGCCTCTTCCGCTCATTGCCCTAAGCATTCACACTGCTAACCCATAAGAAATCACCTGTCACATTGCTTTTGTCCCCTTCTAGTAGGACACATGAACCTTTTTTCCTATCTATAATCTCCTTTAGGCAGCATTTTTCTCAGCCAGCACTTGTGTTATACTGCCAGAACCTGGGATGTCTTTACAGCCTGCTACATGCATGAACTCACATGTAGTTCTCTATTGGTGTAAAGAATCTATAATTTATCCCTGACTCCAAGAATTCTGGAAGTCCAGGAAAAGAACAAGAGAAAGGGAGAAAAGAAGGATCCTTCTCCCTACCATACCCTGTTTCAAACCCACCATCACCAAAAACCCAAACAAACAAAATTCTGAACCTGTGGGAGGGCTATTTGGGTTGTAACGCATCAGCAAAGACTGTCGACTGATATCATATCCTGTAGTGTCCTGCATACTGGGGACCTCTGCAAAAAGAGACATATACAAAATAAGTGCAGCTAATCCAACTATATTCAAATAATTGCAAATGCATCAGAAAAGTAGCAGTAGACTAAGGTTGACAAAAATGTGTTTCTTCTCCTAGAACAGCTGGTGATCAGCAATTGGACTCAATTGGATTGTCAGGATAGCTACTTGCAACAGGTAGTCAGCCAGAATTCACCATTTCAGCTATGACAAAGACTAAATATGGACAGCAAGTGAAATCTCCAAACAGTTTACAGCTGATCCACAAGGGGATGAGAGCTGGCTATAGTTTCTAACTACTAAGTCTGTCCAGGGTGTTAGTCCTTAGCTCTGTGAGTCATGGTCAGTCTGCAATACAGACTGGGACAGAGACAAAGCAAAACACTGAATTTAGAATAGAAACAACAATATTGCTCCCAAATCCATTACATGTGTTTCAGACAGCACAGGCACTGGGACTCTGAAGATGCTATGGTTGTAGCTGCAAAAGCACAGGATGGAGACAGGTAAGCAGGGAGCTGAGCGCACGAGCTTTTGCAGAGACTTGGTAATTTCTACTCCTAAGCAGAAGCAACTTAAAAAAAGTTGGGTGTCTATCAAATCAACTCACGCTGTGGCAGGTAGCAAGGCTGCACGTTGCAGCTACCCAGGGTGGCTGGCTTCTGTGGTTGGATGGCTTTGCATTTATCAGCACTGTAGAATTTGGAGTCACCATCAGTGCAGATAACTTGGCGTGTCCGGATGCCTGAACTGCAGCTCTTTGAACACTTGAGTACAGAGAACAAGGCAAGTGAGCAGGAACCAGAGTCAGAATGCAGAAACACCACAGACCAGGAGTGTGGAACAGTTGTGATTAGCTGCAGGCTGAGCACAGCTTCCTCCACCAAGATAAGGCAAACAACAGCCCAGCTGGATTCATCTGAACAGAGGTACTCTTAATCATTTTGCCAAATGTTGCATCCAGCCCTGAAGCACTAGGCTCCAAGCTATGCTTACTCTCTAACATCTAGATTTGCTGCTCTGCCAAGGACAGTGGTGTGACAAGAAGCTGGAATAATCAGCAGGAGTGAACTGTTCCAGCCTGACCTGAAGGCACCTCAGCACTACAAGGATCCACCACTTGTTAAAGGGTCAGTTTTGAACTCTGAATTCAAAAAACAACAGGCAGCACTTTACAACAGGAAAGCAAATGGATAGCTTTCTTGTAAGCAGCTAACTGGATTTCCTTTCACTGGAAGCTGTGAGTGAAAAGGAAGCAACGAGCAGCAACTCCGGGCAGTGAGGACAGTGGAGAATATGAGAACCAACCTGTTCACAGAAAGTTTTAAGACACTGGGAGAGTATTCTTTTCTTTTAGTCAGATACAAGTAGGAGCTCTGATACTGGAAAGTCTGAGGCCAGGAAAGATCAGATTAAGGTATGCAGCTTTCTTAGCTGTTATTAAAACTCAGCTATACCACACAAATAACCAGAAGTAACATGTTTAAACTCAGAACAAGCTGGTTTCACGAGCATGGAAGTGAAACAAGTGTGCTTGGAAGTCACGTGGTAGATTGAATCTCCCCCATCTCCTCCCCCTGGTATGTTTCCCAGGCTGAAAACAGCCTGTCTCCCTCCACAAGGGAGACAAGATTAATCCAGCTAAAGAACAGTTTATCTGAACAATTACAAAAACATAGTTTAAATCATTTCACCAAACATGATGACCAGTCCTGAAACCTGAAGCTCTAAGCCATATTGAGCCCATGAGCTGTTTTGCTATTCACAGTAATGGAGCAAATAAATGAGAATACGCAGCAGGAGTGGATAGTTTCAGTTTATTGGCTGCATTTTGCCACTGTCACTGAAACTATAGTCTCCCTCTCCAAGAAGGATTTATTTTTATAGCAGCTGCAAACAAAGCAGGCAACAGATTAACTGGAGCATTACTAGCGCCAGTTACAATGCAACTGTGAGCCAAGGGACTGGTAATGAAGCAGTACATGCTTTCCAATTCAGCCAATTGCAGGCTGCACTGATTAAAGCTTGTTTGCAAGGAACACAGCAATATAATCAATTATTTCCGATGCATGAAAGCATGATGCTTACCAGGCCCCAGTCTCCAACGTGCCAGCCGACTTCTTGGATGCACTTCTCCTTAAGGCAGGGCTGGGTAGCTGGTGGCTTTGGTTCCATTAAACAAGCAAAGTCCTGAGCCTGAGAGCCCTGCTGCGTTCTGCAGGTGACGCTCCGGGTCTGGACACCTTCCCCACAGCTGGCTGAGCACTGTGGAACAGAGCACAACAGTGAAAAGGAAGCACCTACTTTACACTTGCATTTCCAGGCTGTGGTCCCCAACATCAGGGCAGAGTACCACTTTAAGAATGTCTCAAACAAGCAACCAGCATTAAAAACCATATTCTTGGATGGGAATGAGCAGAGTAGTTGTCTGTGCGGTAGAAGAGACAATATGGCACGTTGAATAGGATCTGGGACCTCATTGGATGATTTTGGCTTAGTTACATAACTTCTCTTGCTCTCTATCAAAAAAGACAAAGAGAATGAATGACTTTGGAAAAAAATACCAGTACAACAGAATACATTCAGAACAGGATGTTTGTAGATGGCAGGAGATACCTGCAAACTAATGTTACTCCTGATTAAAACCAGCTCAAGGTAAAGAACTCAGGGGAAGATAAAAAGACATTTCTTGCATTTTTCATGTCTTTTTCCTGAAGACCTCATGCTCCATTTTATGGTGTCAAGCTGTGAGACATCATCTTCCTATGCATGTAAATGGCCTTTTGCAATTCTCTGTTAAATTCACAGTGGTTTTGTCTGGAATCCAGCTCAGTTCTCCAGGAATTGCCAAAGTCTACTACATAGGAAATTACCTGAGAGCTGTCTAAACTACTTTGAGTTTCCCAGTAGAGTTTCTGCTATTTATTTACTAGAGAGACCTTTTATCTCCAAAAACACATAGGTGAAGAACAGCCATTTTTCTGTAACCCCAGAATGAATCACTTAGGAATCAATTTGCAAGAACAGGTCACTTAGTGCTTTGTGCCTTTCCTAAACAGTGCTCTCATTCCACAACTCTGAATTCAACTCAGTATTCACACCCTACATCTCACGAGAGTACAAAAACAACAACAACAAAAAAAACCTTACAGTCCTGCTTATCATGCCTCGAAGTCGCATTTCATGATGCTGCTGTATCACTAAACAAAAAAATACCACAAGACTGTAAATCAAATGTTGCAAGCGTGCAACACACTTCTTTCAAAAGAAAATTCACTTGTGTTTTAGGGACTGAGTAGATGTAATTCAATGATATTTACTACCTTTGCTTTCTATGACTTTTGAACATAAGATGCCTTCTAAATGCCTGGCTGGTAGTGCTGAGTACATGTAGTTTGGAGGATAAATGCATACTGCAGCTGTCCAGAGAAGCCTTGCACTGATACACAGCCTACAGTAAACAGCAGGTCACCAGTAGTTCAATAGCATCTTCCTTACTGACTGCTGTGATTTAATACTGCCATTCAGGAGCTAGTAATGCTGGGCCAGCAATAAGCATGGAAATAAGCAGCATAAGTGAGAACCATGAGCTCCTGTTTTACAGAGGGGAATGTTACTGCACAAGATCAGCTGCAGGACAGCAGCTCTCAGCCTGCCCCCCCAACCTTCACCAAGCCTGGATCAGAAACTGACAGTGGCAAGGTCTGGTAGATCTGATAAAAATACAGGGGAGAGAGCATGTCGTGAAAGGAACAGAAAAAAGTTTATCAAAAGGCATAGATGCCATTTGGAGAACTTCTTTGGAAGACTGCAGGGACAGTCTGCACCCTGCCATGGACACCCACCTTATACAGCCTCAGAGAAGGTGCCTGGCTTTTCACCCTGGATGCCACGTGGCAGTTGCTTCTCACACAAACTCACCTCTGACCAGGGCCCTGTGCTCCAGGTTGCACACTGTCTCCTGTTGCAGGGCTGACTGCTGTGAGGTTGCTGTGCAAAGGCCATACACTCAGCGTTGTCCACAACACCTTGGGAGTTCTGACCATCAAATGCTACACAGTAAACAGAGCGAGTCTGGGTGCCTCCACCACAGGTAGCTGAGCAGGGTCCCCACTCCCCTGTTTTCCACCTGCAGGTCACAGAATCAAGCAAACAAATAATGGCCCAACTAAATGGCACAGAGGTCAGTGCCGTGTCTGTGTTGCAGTCAGACGAGGAAAAAGTCTTCTTTGCAGAACAGAGTCAGAGACAAGTTCCTATTTCACCAAGTGCTGCCCAGCTTGATTGGCAATGCAAAGCATGAGTCCCACTCCAAAGGCAAATGCCCAGCTACAAAACACTTGTTAATCTGGAAATTCAGAGCTTTCCCTGAGGGGAAGTATTATTTCCATGGCTTTTGGTTTCCTAACATTTGCAAAAATACCATGCCTGGAATGCAACACCAAAGAGGAAGAAAAAACAAATAAACAAAAAAACCAACAATACAGATCAGCTAAAAGAAAAGTAGCTCACATAAGCTTAACAATGCATCATGCTCCAGCCACCATCCAAAGCAGAAGACATCACCAAACTGGGATCTCAATCTGCCTGCAAACTATGCTCAACTTTCCAGAAGCACTTAGAAACTTTTAATTGACAAACCAATAGAAAGATGGTTTATTCCGCTCATTGGCTAGATTATCTAACAGAAGCACACAACAAAAGTAAAAAAAAACTTCAAACGGATTTTGCATTTGGTTGCTGAAGCTGTCACGGAAATGTTACATCCTTGCTAGCAGAAGTGCAAACGTGCAGAAAACAGTCACAGTGGATGGTAGAATCCCTCCCCTGTCCATTTCTGTGTCTCGGTGCTGCCCACACAATTGGGAGCACAGCTTGCATGGCCTGACCAGGGATTTCAGACTCCAGCATGGGGTAGAAGCAGTTAAAAGGCACTGGTGATGCAGGGGGTGCATCACGGTGATCTACTACCTCCCTCTTTCAGACATATAAGCCCCAGCCAGGGAGTAAAGACAGTTCACATTTTCTCCCCAACCTTTTCAGTTGCTTCCCCTGGTCTGCCCTCATCAGTGACTTTCAATTCACATTCATATCCCATCAGAAACTCCACAGCAGACTCAGCCAAGAGAAGACATGTTCATCTCCGTAAGATACTTTTTTTCTGCTATTAAAGAAGCAGATAGCCTAGAACTGAATACCATTTACCACAGAATAAGATATTTCCTTTGGAAAGTGAACAATTACAGCAAACAGAAGCCACTTAGAGCAGTGTGGCTACTGATCTCAAAACAAATTAATTGATCGAGCTTTTACAAAAGTTCCAGAGGGTATAAAAACAGGAGTATTTTGCCTCCTGTGAAGAAAGTGTGCACTTTTAGAAAGGTTGTATCAACTGGATGGACTCAAATACAGATTCCTTCAACTGCAGTCAAGACATCTCTGACACTTGTTTCATGTCCTTTGTATGGAAAGACCAATTATAACGATGGGACCATTAAGAGGCAAGTCCTATGCTATTAGCAGTTTGCTGGGAACAGTTGTTTTGCTTTTATTCTATTTTACTTCTAACACCTCAGTGGACATTCTGAGTATTGTATCTGTGACTGCCTTGCACTCACCACAGTATGTAAGCAATTTTCTGCCTGATAAAGGACCAAGGCCAAAGAAAGAGCTTTTGAGGAACTTTGAGGTTTTTGCTATGGCACTCTGGAGTCCTGGTCAATGACTCAATAGACCTAGTCCATCATGTTCTCTTTTCCTGTTTTTTATCTTGATCAACCAAACAAAAAATCTTACAAACATGCCTCCACCACGCTAGCCTAAAACAAGCAATTATCAAGCCAAAAGCTATGAAGAATCTGTCTCCTCCTTAACTCCATACCAAGTTACCAGCAGCACTCAGAACCACCTAAGCAAAGCTGCCAGCCAGCACCCTCCACCATCATTTTCATCAGCAAGAATCAAAAGCAAAGCATGGCCCACTGCTACCATCAGTGCCAAAGGAAAGTCCCCATAGACTCTAGTGGGCAACTAGGTGGAGAGCAGAAGATAGCAGCTGCCTTCCCGTTGTCTCCTCATTGTTACCTCTTCATCTGAGAGCTCCATGCTCCACTGTGGCTCCAGGCTCGTGGCGGAGAGATGTAAGAAGTCCTTTACACACAGAACAAAGAATTTAAACAACTTAAAGCAAGTAGCTATGGGCTAACACGAATTCAGAAATGTTCCCAGTTTTCCATGTGCTCCCTGGCCCACAACAGGTCTCCGCTATAACAACCAGATACACAATGCGATGTGCAGTTAACGCGCTCTGGTTACAGTTCTGGATGCTTTTAAGAGCCAATTTAAGCCGATTGCTTAAATTGTAATCAAGGCTGTGTAATCAAGGGACAAGGGGGAAATGGTTGATTAAGTGGGTCTGAAAATAATAGAAAAGGAGAAGATTCCAGGATTCATCTATTTCAAAGAGCAAGGACACTGAGAATGCAGAAATGACAAAATTAGATCAGCTCAGACCTACTTCTCTTTTTTGGCAGGCTCCATTTGAAGAGAAAAAAAACCACAGATTCTATTCCCTACCTTCTTCCACAGATTCTACCTTTCCCACCTGTGGGCTAGAAGACTTCCACAATTATGCTAGAAAGAAAATGTAACTGATCTATGAAATGAACATAGGACATATCAAGACCATTTCTTGTGCACATAAAAACACTTGTCACATAGTTATCATCCCCAGCTTTGTCTTGGGCTTTCTCTAAGAAGTGAAACATTTCCTTGGAAAGTGCCAAGCACTCCTGGCTCCAAAAGCACCTCAGGAGGAAGACAGAGCTCAGAAGTGGAAAGGAAATCTTACCGTTTTGTTTGGGGACAAGTCTGATGGCCACATGTCCGGTTATTGTCTGGTCGTGGTTTGTTACTGCACATATAGTCTGGATAAATTTCATTGTCTATGGTACAAAACACCAAACGGGACTGGAAGCCTGAAGGTCAAACAAGAAAGTATACTGATCAATGTAGGGCACCCAGGACAATGCACTGGTGTTTGAAATGCAGTAGCATTGCTAAGACAAGATTCTAAAGCAGCACTGAATCCACACCTGCAACTCACCAACCTGGAAGAGTCAGGTGCAGCTCTTGGTCTGTCACCACATCTATGAATGATGCCTACTTACAGTATACAAGTTCACAGGAAATAAAAAAGACAGAATAATTCTGTATAGGTGAGGGAACTTTTCCTTTTGTTTGAGTGGGTTAAGAGTCACAAGGGAGATGTCATATGCATATATTGCTCACCAAGGAACCCCGCTTGGTGTGTGCTGTTAGACCTAGTAGGTCAGTCTTGTGAAGACTAGATGTTGTAACTCTTCATGTTTCTTACAGGTATAGAATATCAGCTCCCACAACCACAGTATGGCAAGAGCTACTGAAAAGGCCATCAGCAAGACAAGAAGAGGCAGACAGAAACTCCACAGTCAGATGGAGGTTTTTGGTTTGATTGTTGGGGCATTTTTTGGTTGTTGTTTTTTAGTTTAAAATCAATAGTTTTGCTGATGCAAACTGAACATGTGGTGACACCCCATGAAATCTGACAATCTTCCTGTTCAGAGAAATTGAATCTTACAGGTGATAGCAGAGGTATAACAGTGTGATACAACCCAGTTTTGTAGATCAGCTCAGCTTGGAAAGTGGTTTCAAGTGTTTGAAAAGGCCTGCAGAGGACATTAAGAACTGAGGCAGGACAAAATAAAACAAACACATCCCTATGATCCATGATCCAATTAACAAGTCTAAGACATGTAAAATTAGACAGGACAATGCAAGGAGCACAATCCTCTTGTGATTCCATATGTGACTCTCCCTTGAGAAAACCTTAACTGCCACCAGCAGATATCTGTGTTGTCTTCCAGTAGGAGACTGCTGAGAAGCAGCTGCAGAGGGCAGCACACAGCGTCTTCATGGTGTGGATATAAACCTTGAACCACGTAGCCAGAGACCAGGTCTTGCCCCCTTACCTCCTCCACACTCTGAGCTGCACTCACTCCAGGAACTGTAGCTCCAGCTGTAACCTGTGGAATGTCTGTGTGTAGGCAGGTAGTATTCGTACTGTACTCCTGGGTTTGGTTCCTGACTGATGAGCTATGAAAGCATGGGATAAAGTCATGAAAATAGCAGCAGCACTTCTCTTCACAGCATTTCCCCACTGTGCCTGAGGGTTTGAGCTGACTTGGTCCCTCCAGTTCAAAGAGGTCTTTTTCTCTAGGCTGTATTTTCTCCTTGCTTTCTCTGATTATCTAGGGAGTATCATTTTTCAGAAAAGGGTGTATCCATCTCTCTCACAGGCAGAAGATCTACTGGGTCTGTTACAGTAATACCCTGACACGGCCTATGGTACATTAAAATATGCAGTACCCTAGAGCCTGTCCCTGCACCAAATCCATTCTGTGCAGACTCATCTCAAAGTTAGAGCTCAGAGGAATACATCAAGCCATGCTTTGCTCCTTTTAGGGCCTCAGAACCAGAGCATAACAGTGTGTTTTCTGCAAGAAAAGCAGCAGGGTCTAGATTAAGGGCCTACAGTTTTGTAAGATTTCTGGAGGCCCAGTTATCCTTCAAGAGTATTTCCCATCTCATCTCCACCAATGCACTTCCACTGCACTAAGTGAGGACTGCTATGCAAAACAAGACTGTATCGGTGAGGGCAAGCACAGCCACTTACCTCAATGACTAAGGGCTCTGTGGTGGGACCCCTGGCATGGAGGAGCTCTGGAGCAAGATCACCTTCTGAGCCACGATCATAGTGCATAACTGTGCTAGCTATATGTAGCGTTCGGCTGAAGTCAATTGTCCAATGCCCATTCAGATAGTAATCCCCTTGCACATTCTTGACAGCTGGATAAACCCACATGCCAGAGAAGAAAAGGCAATAAATTAACATTTATGACTTGAAAGCTGGTTCTAACTACTGCAAGACAGTGCCTGTTCTGGACTTTCAAGGTACTGGCAGCTCACAGAGCTCTCAGCGTCATCATTTGAGCACCACCTCTTTGCATTAATACTGCAATCCTCTTAAGTGGAGTGACAATCTAATATGGCAGCACCTATCACCATTGCAAAAATTCACATATAAAAATGAACAATAAGAATTCAACAGGCATGCTCCCATTTTCACTAAATTCTGCATCACAGGTGGGGCAAATAAAGGTGAACATTATCCACCAAAAATGCTGGACTAGCCTAGCACTTACTTGCCAGAAGCTGCTGTACATTCAGTTTTTGCCAGCTTTGCTGCAGAGAAAGCACTTATATGCTGCACAGCCAAATTCCTCCAGCTTATTCCTGTCCTGACTTTACCTTCTTCAGTGAAAATGAGGTAAATCTGAAGCCCAGAGTTGAGCATCACTAATACTTCAAAGATACTCAGTATTCAGACCTGATTTTTAGAGTTTTCCCCTCTGCCAGATCTAACTATCAAGGCCAACCTCACAAATCCTAGTGTACCTAAAAACCAAATTTTAATGCAATGGCTGGAGTCCAAACAGACTGAAATACATGTTCCAATATCAGTCTTACCCATAAAGTTCCTGCTTGGCATAACCTCCTTGATTTGGATGCTGGTGGCTCCCACAGGGATGATGAACATTTGATTGTACCCTGAAGAAAAATTAAGGGGATTATTCAATATCTATTTGTTGATAGTACAGTCACATTTGTGCATCAATGACTCTTCCAATTTCATTTGTATCTGAACAACTGGATGAGCTTTATGATGCTGGTTCAACGCATTTCAGTTGTCACTTTATCTGTATTCTGAATAGCTTCACCAAAAAGTCTCAAGATGTCAATCCATGGGCATACAGTTTCAACTACACCTCAGAAAAGTAAGCATGTGTATTAGTGCAAAGTCATTTTTTTTATATTCTAAAATCTAGGATTTCAGTAACTGGCATATCAGGTCTTGACTGAGATTTGATCACAGCACAGTTGTCTTGAAATGACTCAAAGTTGGCCAAATGCAGAAGATTCAGTTCCATTTATAGCCTTGCAGAAATTCTAGTAGGGCTTTTGAGACACTGTGTATAGGGATAGTCTTATGAAAATGGTATAGAGCTATATTCACATGGTACGTTTATAGCATCTGTTAGAGACTGAACAGGGAGAGACACCAGGAGCATTTCAAGTACATTTGACTCTTATGAGACTGAGAAAATGATTCCCTGAGTAAGGCAATCAATACTTTTTCTGATGCTAAAGTGCCACATTAGTTTACTTTTAACCTTTCCCTTATCACCTGCCTGAACTATACAGATCATCTGTACCTTTGGGGAGGTTGGGCACATCAAAAGTGCCCTTCACATCATAGCAGGTGCTGTTATCTCCTCCGCACTGCAGGCACTTGTCCTCCTTCTTGGTAGATTCTAGTATGTTATCACAGCCAACAGCCTGTCAGGGCACAGGCGCATCAATATGAATAAACCATAATGACAAGGGAAAGAAAGACAAAATGGCTAAATGATGGACTGTTCTTATGGGAAAGTCTGAACCTAAGGAACGTGGGAAATCAGAAGGTAGGAAAGCTGTTGTCAAGTGAAGGACAGAGCTGACCTCTTCCCTTTCACTTCCAGAGAAAGGTAGATAAATGCTGTTGATATCCTCCTCAGCATCTCATCAGAAACTGAATGAATCCACTTTTTAGATATCATTACAAAGGGCCAAGTAGAAGAAAGAGAAGAACCTGAAAGACGAATAGACGCAATGGCAGAGGAAGGAAGCAACAGGATGACTCACTTGACAAACTCCCTCTACACAGATATCCCGCTTGCCAGGTTCACAAGTAGTTCCATCTATCACAGTTTCCTTGTGTCTGTAGTAGAAGTTTTCTCCCTTTGGAATACAGTTTAACTCACACTTATTAGGTGCTGGTAGGAGAGAAAAAAAATAGTGTGTACCATGGCTAATAGATTGCTAATGCATCAGAGTCTTGGTTTTAGATCACAAAAGCAGAAAGAGGAGTGAACTAATATTAAGTGGCAAGTATCGAGCAGATTTCTGGGTCACAAACTGCTGGATGATGGAAAAGTACACTGGGAAAGCCTCACTGTATGCATCCTTTTCCTCAGGCACCCTGATTGGCAGGTGCTAGAGAGGTCATGTTGGCCCATGGGGATATTAGGTTGTTCCTTAATAGAACTCTTCTTATGCTCCATGGAGTGAGTACAAAGCTTTTTGGAAAGAGAGTAAGTGTTGGTATAGAACACAAGAAAGCTGTTATTTTAACAGACAGCAAGCCACGGGGAATGATCAGAACGAGGAACTCTCATTCCTAAATCTGCCTTCTGAAGCAGTTTCTCAAGAAAGTGTGGGCCAATTGCAAATATCTCATGTTTTCTAAAGGACTTATTAGTTACATGTATTTATTTCTCATGCATCTTGCTAGTATTCTTTCATTAATACAGTAAAATACAGCAGAGCTGTGGCTTCTTTAATACTTTATGATCAGCTGCAGCGAGTTCCAGCTTTCTTGAGCAACGTTCCTGAAAGAACAGCTGTTACAAGAGACAATTTTGAACTGCTGCTGTGGTAGGTGTCTCTTTGCGCATGTATCCAGCATCTTCATGTCAGCAATGCTTTCCTGCTGACAAAAAGATTATTTCCATGCCCCAAACCTCCTTGCTACTCCAGCTGGGGAAACATCTACTGTAAGAATACAGTCTATAACATTATAGTCACTTTAAAACATACTGTTGATAGTCAGAGATGAAGAGCAGGACTTGTTATTACCTCCATAATACGGAAGCCACTTGTATTTCTTTCCTTGAAATTCTGTCCCATCAAACTCTGCACACTGCTCTGCCCGGAAATCTCTGGAGCTTTCCGGACAGCTCTGTTTGGAGGAGAAAACATTTTCACCAGGCCATCAGGAAAAGGAGGAGAATTAAGTGTGCAGCTAAAAACTGTCCCTTCTCTCTCACACATAAAATCTTAGGATAAATTCTTGTTTGGGATCAATATTCTTTTGAAGAGATACCATTGATGAACAGCATTCATCAGTAATGCCGGAGAAAGAGAATCTAACAATAGCGTATCACTTCTAAACATGAATGGGAAAAGGAGCAACAAGAAAGCAAAAAAACCCAACAGAGTACAAACACTGTACTCTACCTGAATATTGCATGAGCGATAGCTTTGAGTTGGTCCAATGCAACTGGAAGCACTTTCTGTCCTGAAACACCAAAAAAACCCCATTAAGCTCTCTGAACCCAGGAAAAAAAATCATCTCACGGTAGATATCCCAAATAACCTTCACATACAGCATACAATATTTACACAGTCTCCTGAAGCAGCAAAATAATGAAAAAGCACTTCTTTTTTCTTACTAATGCAAGTCTGCATTTTCTATTGCTATTTTCTGCTACAGACTGTGATCTGTCATGAATGAAACATAAAACAAGAACAATTACAGGATAGCTCTTCAGCACTATTTTCACTAAGTAATGGAAGCAGAACTTTTTGTCCTTTGTCCGCTAGCATATAGCTGACATATCCTTACCAGATCCAGGAACATATTCCAAGAAAGACATCAGTGGCTAATTCAGAATAGGTATGCATATCACTTACTGTGCTATTTATATGCACTCTAAGCTCATTCCTAGGGAGAGCTAAAGATGCCCATGAAGAGTGTGCAACACTGGTTCCAGTCAAATGTTTTCAGCTGAGAATTATGGGGAATAACAGCCATGAAGTATATTGATCTGAAAAGTCAACAAAAATCTAACATCTCAGCACTTCTAAAATGGAGAGACAAGTCCCCAGGAATTCCAATCAGGCAACAAGACATGAGTGTATACCATGACAGGCAGCCTTCAAAGACAATCCTTCTTTATATCGGGGTGAGGTGGTTTCTTTCCCCCTCTGATGTTATTGAGGCTGAAGGTTATTTTTTTTCCTCCTTTTCTTGCTTTTTATACAACAGGATCTCTCAAGTTCATAATTCCCAATAAGTACACTTCTAGTCATTGTCATCACTAATCAGCTACAAATGATATGGCACTGCATTAACATTGCTTAAGCGTACTCCACTCCTGCACCACTCACTGGGGCAATTTATCTTCCTGGAAATCATAAGTCTGAGAAAATCTTGGCATAGCCACTGGCTCCTGAGAGAGCAACCAAATGGTCTGACCTCTCCTCCAACTCCCCCAGGTCTCCCACACTAGACCTGATTGAATAGGTGCTGCCATACCAGTTACCTCATTGTACAGCCTCAGATCTCAAAGAGAGATCACTGTATTCAAGCAAAGGAGTCAAAGCAAAGACATGTTAAAGACAGTCTTCTTCAAAAGAGCAGTGATGAGATTAAAGCAAAGGATTATGTCAAAGTGGACTTAGATAACTTTTTCCTACATTTAAAGAAAGAAAAATGAGGTCAGACCTTACCTTTGGAAATAGCAGCGCCGCTGCCGAACACTGACTCCACCACCACAGCTCCGACTGCACTTGCCCCATTCACCCCAGCTTCCCCAAAGACCAGCCTGCCGCCTCATCCTATGGCCCTGCAAATAAAACAAAACACAAACATATCAAACAGACATAAGGAAAACGACAAACAAACATACACAATGAAAATGAAGCAGAACACCTATTTGTTCTCTTGCAAAACAGACTGTGTTGCTGCCTTGCATTCCTAGTATGAAACATGGCAGAGAGCAATACATGAGAAAAGCCAAGCTTCTAGTAACAAGAAGTAGTATATTCTTGAAGACATACAGCAGCTCCAACTTCATAATCTCAGTACTTTGGAATAATCATTTGAAAGTTAACAACTCCTTCTCAGCAAGGCAGTAGACACAAACCATTAATTCAGGAGCTGTGAGCACTGTCACTCCAGACCAGATAAACACAACCCCTTAACTCCAAATCTTTGGCTCCAAGCCAGATACTTAGAAGAAATGAAGGAAGCAGTAAGTAAACCCCTAGAACACAGATCTTATGGCAGAAAAAAAAAAGAATATCTGTATTTGGATGTTTTTCACCTGCACAACATTTTACATGTTAAGGCATGGGCCATCACTAGCAGTAGCCTTAACTCATTCTGTTTTAGAAAGTCATTCTGAATACTTACATTAAGAGAAATCAGCATGATAACGTGGATAAGATGTTATAATTGCAATAGAATTACACAAAATACATTGTTGTAGAAGCATACAGAATAAATTTTCAGGAAGCAGGCCTGCTGCAGCTGACAGGGTCTGCATATAGCAGAAAACGGTGTTGCTATTCACTGCAGGGGTGTTGGACTAGATGGCCTTTGGAGGTCCCTTCTAACTCCAAGGATACTATGATTTAGTGGGAAGAATATCAACATCCTGAAAATAAAAATAATTGCAGAATGCAATGTCTGCAAAAAAAAAACAGTAAATGAAAGATTGCTCAGGGAGTGAGACTGTAAAGATAGGATTTGCTGACCAACTGCACCTTTTAGGCAGTTTACATCCATATTACACAGATGGTAAGATAATACATACCATTTGGGCATTTAGGTATTTGAGTTAACGAGGAGAAAAAAGGCAGAGGAAGACTCAAAAAGGAGTCAGAAATTGTATCTTTGCAATTTCCATTTCCTTTTCCCTCTCATCTTAATAATCTGCAATTTCATTCAGCAATATGCAAGGATCCACAGCAACTCCTGCCTGCAGTCCATTATTCTGGAACACAAGACAGACTCCAACAAGCTGTATGTCTGCTGTGGTAGAAGGACTATGAAGACAGGTGAATAAAATACATTTTCTATCTACATCTATTACTTCAAGCAAGAGCCCATGTGATAATCTAGTGGCAGATCATTCATGCTGTAAAGACATCAGGAGACTATCTAAATTGCGTGCAGTGAGACAAGCAATCTTCGGTTGGTCCAGGCTGCTCCTGCACGATGAAAAGCAGCTCCTTCTGAGAGCTGAGTATTGCAAGCAGGCATCATTTCATAATGTCATTATCTATTTGCAGTGCAGTTTCATGCTTGCTGGTTCATGCAGGCCAAGGCTAATTTGCTAATTCAGATTAAGGCTGTAAGGCTGTTATTTTGGTGTGTAATTACAATCCATTATTGAAAATGAAAGGTAAAAAAAAAAAAAAAAAAGGGACATAGTCCAATTTTCTTTCACCCATACTGTATTCCAAATCCACATAACCTCTGGGTCTGGCTCCCAGCCTATCCTCTAGATTCACAGAGCCCCTTTTGTGACTAGATTACTTCACCCCACAGCTTCATCCTCCACATCTCCCTGCTTGTGTTCTGTTACCATCCCTTCCTGTTATCCCTCCTGCATTCTCATGTAAATTACTCCCTGATGATCAGGCAGCTGGTGTCGTTGTAAGAGTTTTCTACTGGAGTGGAGGAACGTGCTAGAGATGTAGAATTTCACTATTGCAGGGATATTACCCCACCCAATTCACACTTCACACCCACCAGGTTGCTTTCCAGGGCCTACAGAGAAGGCAGGAGCTCCTTGCTTTCTGAACATATTTTTCACTTCAGTTAATCATTTTTACATAAGACATACAAATCTCTTCTAGAAATAGGAACTATCCTATAATTATAAATTATCCAATTAATTCAGTTTGGGCAAGATGCATGAGTTAATCCTTCCTTGTCATATAAACAGTTTTTGTAATTTTCTGCACATACTCCCTGCCTGACTGCAAGTTCTTGAGTTACAGTCTTGTTTTTCTTCCTCTCGGCCACTTTTAAGAAGTAATTCCCTGCTACAGATGGGGCAACACAGAGAGATATCTTACCATATTTATGCAGTTGCTACAACCATACCCACAACTATCATTCTCCAGAGTCACTCCATTTTCATCCTGCCTCTACTGCTTTAGTGTGAAGCTCATTTTTCTTGGCCTATGCTATTTGATTTTCTTCATGTAAGTTTTTGTGCATTTCTTTCTAACACCTCAGCAAGCAAAATGCTTCAGGACAAGTTTTCTAGTTCAGACTAACTCTGTTTACCTTTACTCTGCACACTCAATGGCACTACCCAGGTTACAGCCACTTCCACATATTTTCTGTCTGCCAAGTCAATGTCTCTCTGACCTCTTGCCAAACCTAGCTACCATTGTTCTGTTCCAAATATTCAGCTCAGTGTTTGCTTTTGGCATTCTCATTTGCCTTTCCGGGAGTAATCCCATCAATAGAGTTTTAGCTTTCAGAAAAGCGTCTTATTTTCCCAAGTGTTTCTTTCAGGCACCTAATTCTGCCCCCTGTAATCCCTCCTCCCTTACTCCCAAAAGAATGAAACATGCTACCGCTCTAATTCTCTGCAGTCTTATTCCTCTATATCAGCTGACTGATTTAGGAGCAGTATTAGCTCACCCTGGAAACAAGGAATCTTTCAGTCAACATAAGGGTGAAGAAAACATGTACATAAAAATCCAAGGGAGGAGCATTTGAAAGTCAGATTACTGGAAGGCAATTAGGACAAAAAACCCTTCCCTGACACACACACCAACATGATAAATATTGCAATATCCCTCCTACAGAAGTAGCATTCTTTATTCCTTCTACAGAGAGCAAAATCTGCAGGGACTCTTTGTTGTAATCCTTATATATCTGCAGAGTGCAGAAACAATCATTTTCTCAGTATTACTCCATTTATGTACAACCCAAAAGGAGTATTGGACAGAAGAATCCTTCCAAAACTGTATGGTGTTAGAAATATTTTAATAGGAACACAACTCCCAATATGTCAGTGACATGACTGTATGCATGCGTGCACAAATATAAAGCAACAAAATAAATAAGGAAATTATTATCACATATTCTGATAACAAGATGTTTTAAGATGCTATCAGCTAATTTCTGTCCCCAAAGCCTCTTTATACTCTGCTCTGACTGCAGAATACTTTTATCTATTGTCAGCCAGAATTGCTAAATGCCAGGCCCTGCCGGACGCTGGAACTAACGGCCTGAAAACTTAATCAATGCTATTAATTCAATTGGCTATGTTCTCCCCCTGCTTGAGTTTAGCATGCATTCAAGAATGTAGATCCTCTATCTGCAATTAGTATATATTTTAATGTTTCAGAAAAAGCCAGAGAAAGTATACAACTATCTCACTTCTGAAAACTCCAGAAAGGATGGCCAGTTAATGCCTAGCTGCTCTGTCACATTCTATTGCCTGTTAAAGCAATGGAAATGTTTATCTTCAAGCAACATTGATGAAGCACAGGCTCTCAGTGCTCATTGGTAAGCAAGCTGCAGTGGTTCAAAAGTTTAGAAGGTCAGTGATTTCATTTTTATGGACAGTGCATTCCTTTCATCAGTTCCTTGACAGATGTGTTAGTGATGTAGTTGGAGCACCTGCTTTATCAAGCCAACTGATTCTGACAAAGCAAGCAAATAGAGGACCTATGTCTCTGAATCACTACAGCTGGAGTCTTTGTCTTTAAAGAGAATTTCAGTATGTATCAGGCATACGCAATAAGATAACTCTGGAAAATGGCACTAGATAGTATAATATGTATCATAAAATATATATTTTTACATAGGAAACGTACTGGAAAAGAAGCTATGAGTGGTACTTGACTCAGAAAGCCTGAAAATGCAGGTAATATGTAGGAACAACTTAAAGAGGGCCCCTGAAACACTTCTCAATCAGTTCAATGACATGGATAGGAAACTATGCACAGGCAGAGAGCGCATCCCAGATATGCATTGTAGAGATGCAATGATCTACAAAGCTCATATAACTTAATATGGATTATGAGTCAATGTAAGTATTTTCCCCTAGTGCCTTGACACTAATTACTAATAAGCTATGAAAGCAAACATACATTTACTACACAGTCCAAAGAGAGCAGTGAAGATTTGCAATCACAGGCTCAAACAAACTAAATTCCAGTCACAATCTTCCACATTTAGTGTTTCCCTACTCATTGGGCACCTTTGATGGCCTACTCAACCTTAATTGTTCCATGACACCTTGTGCTGCCTTTCCAAATACACAAGCAGCAATAAGATACTGCATTATACAGCTCCAACAATCATGATCAGTTTTGGACAAGACTACTGTTCAATTTTAGCTCAGCAGGTCACAATATCTTTATTCCACTGAGCTGCAATTAGAGGATCCTTCTGGATGCTGAAAAGTTGTTATTTTGACTTCTGAAACTGCATCATGCAGTTAAAAGATTCCATTCAGACCCAGGAACATCTCAGTGCCAACACCGAGACTGGTGGGAAATTTACACTGTAAGTTTACATTTGAAATTCTTTACATTGGAAGTACAAGTCTGTGTACAATTGTTACCCAGTGAATATAGATACAGCTGCCAATGATAACTTGAGTAACGCGAAGTTGATTCCCCAGATGTAACCGTCATTTTATATGGCACTTCTGTGGTGTAAAACTACAATTAAAACCAGAGTGTTTCTCTTTAATCTTTCACAGTATTTCTCAAATAAATGACATTGCACTACTCTTGCTTGATAAACACCAACTTTCTGGGGTTTATGTTTTCTGAAATAAGGCTTATCTTAACACAACTTGAATTCTAGCCTTGCTGTTGAAACATCTATGAAAGAAAGGTAAAAACGAAATGTTTTACAGAAGAAAGTTATCACCACAGCCATTTATTCCATAATGGTTTAATTGCCAAAGATTGGGCTAATAGAAGTCTTTGTGGAGCTTTACTTGGTTTGAATAATAATTGCTTAGAAAGAGTTAGCTTCTTACAGAAAGATTAATGAGGTAGACTGAAAAAAAAAAAAAAAGAGCAGTTAAGGTGCCAGGAGGACATGGGAGCTGGGATTCAGTGGCAGGATCTCCCAGGGGCAGCAGAGCAAGGCTAGGCTTTACAGCCTAGCTGTCTTTACAGCCAGGCCTGTCTCATGGCATCAAGCACCTCCATGGGGCTGGGAACAGACCCTATTATGGTGTTGTTGCTGTGGGTCTGACAGGTCTGAGGGCTCAAATGGTGTCCCAGGCTCTGGACAAGGTGGAAGGAGGCTGGTCAGGGCCAGTAAAGCCTAGCAATGCCATCAAGGCACTGAAAAACACACACCTGGTATGTATGCTAAAACCACACGCTCTTCAGGATGTGAGCTACTTCCTTCTCCTTTCTATGTTCAGAAGACCTGTCTTGTACTGCAATGATGACCACTTAAAATACTTCCACACAGCAAGATGTGGCATTCAATGTTCACACCTAACTGTCAGGAGGCTGAGAACATTCAGTATATCTCAGATATTTATAATGTAGTTATATGCTATTATTCCAATAGATGCATTTTCAAGATAAATCCATCTGTAACCAGCTATGCTATTAGCCTAAAATGCAACAAAAAATAGGCGAATGAATCAGAACTACATGAACAAAGCATTTTTTATAATTCCCTCTTAACCATTGATCTTGCCTCAGACACAGCAGGCTTGCAAAGAGCTCTGAAGGTGAAGAATGCCAAGTACCATTTTTATGAATAATGAATAAGCAATCAAAGAATTGCATTTGAACAAACCTAGGGCAAAAAAAAAAAGAACAAGAGAGAACAAGATGGTGGCAGCAGGAAGTGAAACACAAAATGATACAGAAGAAGAGAGCAGCTTATTAAGATAAACTGTTTCTCAAAGAGAAGAAAAAAGCAAGGTTTTAACAGTTTGAATGGCTTGAGGTTTGAACTCACTGCGTCCATCTTCCATTGCCCTCTACCCTGGCTTGTTAGCATATCCTCTCCAACAAACCCACTAAAATCCATCTGTTCCCCTACAACTTCAGCCCCCTTCAGCCCAGATACTTTAGGTTCCTCCTAGAGTACTTAACCCACTCCCTTATAGTTCCCAACCCATTCCTATATTCCCTATGTTTACCACCCTTGGCACACCTCACTCTTTCTACCCCATTATGGGCTCTAGCACAATATAGTTGTCTCTTTCCGCAGCCCCTGCTTTTCTGTCAGCTAGACAGAGCGTAGCACCTGCCTCACCTACCGCAGAACCAGCTAGCTGCTGCCTCAGGACTAATTTACTGGCTAGTGGGCAGAGCAGGTAATAGCTACTTTTCAGAAATGGAAAGCCTTCCTGAGGCTCAGGGTGGCCTGGAGCTGACTAGAGTATAAGAGAAGCTAAAAAGACACAGCCACTGCAGAGAAGTTAAATTAATTATTGAAATCCCTGAGGAAGAAACAAGAGACATTCAAGAAAGTTCCATAAAGAAGAGGATTGTGAGAACATTTTATGACCACAGACTTATTTTGGAAAAGTGGTCAAAACAAACAGAATGAAGTCACTAGAAATTGTTTATCCAAGTGACCTAACAGGAACTCAAGGTTGAAACAAACAAATGATTACATACTGGCAGACAACTTTCAGCTAAAACTGCTTCAGTATGTGATTATTGAGAAGTGGAAAATCTGACACCAATTTACAAATGGGTCCCAGGAGAACCCAAAGAATTACACACCCACACACTACAAAACTGGCATCTACTAAATAAATTAATAGAAACTCTAACAGAGAACAGAATTAGCAGATACCTGCATAAATATATTTGGGGAAGAGTCAACTAGGCTTTTTTAAAGACAAGTCCTCCTAAGGCTGTTGCAGTTCTTTGAGATATTTGCAAACATACCAACAAAGGTAATCTGTCTGATACATTCAGATTTCCAAAATTTGTACAAAATCCTTCACCTAAAGCTTTGAAGGAAGCTAAGAAGCCAGAAGGAAAATCCTTGTATGGATAATAAACAAGTGGCCAGAAGTCAAAAACAAATGTAGAAGTGAAATCTCCATTCACTGCAAAAACTAACATTAGCAGCAGAATTCTGTAGGAACCTGAACCGCTCAACACATTCACAAATTACACCATAAACAAGGAAATAACAAAGATGAATGATAAGCATAATAATTAAAGACAGAGAACTAGAGATAGACTGCAAAGAACTACAGAAAGACACTATAGGATGAGTGACGGGTCACTAAAATGAAAATTGGGATTTCATGTACATAAATTAAGCGATGCAAAGGGAAAAAAGATAAATCCTATTCTAACAAATACAATGATGACATATGATTTAATCACTAAAGAGCAGAATCTTGGTTTTGACAGAAATGTTGTGCCATTAGAGGTTTAGATTGCTTCAAGGAAGCAATGAACAAGTCTGGGGAAGAGAATCAGAGATGACTCCAGCCTGAAGGGTTCATGAACCACATGTGACTGGATAGTGGAAGCACACTGAGGAAAATTATGCATATTAGATTTCTCTAGACATCTGCTTATGATGCAGCTGGAATCAGAATATATGGCAAAACAAACCTTTGGTTCTACACAGTACGCTATGGAGAATCACCACAGCAGAATGCCTCAGTGCTGTTGGATCTTCCCATAGCTTGGACAGATCCAGCACATTAGGGAAGCTGAAATAAAGTGGTGGTCAAGCAAAACCTTTTTCCTTCATTCAGCATGCCTTCAAGAGGACCTACTGACTGCATACAGGGGACAGTCTAATGCTAAAAAGAAATGTCAGCATTTGTATTTGCATATAGGGTGTTTCAGACATTTCCCTTCCAAAACATTACCAGGCTGCAGATAGGCAGGTGAGCAGATGAACTGAATAATGTATATTCTGCTTGTGGTTCTTTTGCTATAAAGCATAATCTTCTTCAAGATCTGAGATAGAAAGATCTTATTTAAGCATATTTCCAACTCAAGATAAGAAGTCTATGACAGCTAAAAAACTGCTTGGTTTCTGGCATCTTGTCCCTTATCTTCAAAGGAGGCCTACAAAGCACTTGCAAACACTGAATATAGGAATAGAATTTCATAATTCCTTGAGAGATTAAAAGTTATGGACTCATTAATTTTAGCGGCATATAATTCCTCACAACTCCAACTAAAGACTCAACTCCAGGTGATAATTACTTCTTCCCATCCCCCTCTTCTGTTCCTTTACATCTAATAAACATAACACGTCTTCCTTTGCTAAGATTTCCCATCTACTCAGCAGGTCACTCTTTACCTCAGACTGTCCAACTCATTAATACAGTTGAAGACAAATTCAGAAGCACTGCTCTCAAACTTCATTTACTTCAGAAAGGTCCCACTTTTCCCCAGAAAAGAAGAGGAACCTGAGTTTCTAACAACTATGCTCCGTTTCTGACAATACTGAATTGCTTTAGTATAATTATTACATCCCCCCTTAAAACCTCCCTACAACTTCTCTCTTTCGTGTAGCCTTAGTGGTTTAAATCAGCTAACCAAAGATTCATTTGTCTTACTTCCAGTGTCAGTTCTCTAAAGCTTTGAAGCAGACTATAGCAATTACTGTTTTGCAGATAATTTTCAAGCCAAAGGCACTACCAGAATTTTCTTGTTTAATTGCCACATTAGACTTTTCTTAAAGTACTACAGTAGGCCTGATGACTTCAACCCATTAGTTCTTTTGGGTATACTTCCTACAAGTATCTTTAATTTCTTGCAAAGGTATTCAGAAGAGCTTTTACTTACTGAAAATGCAGAAGGCAGCATCACTGCTAGCAGGAACAGAAGGAGTAAGTTCTTCATCTGTGTCTGTGGGAACACAAGAATTATTGATCAGAATTGCTTGCTTCTTTGCTGCTTGTATGGTGACAAAGCTCAGATAACATACAGAAAAAAAATGATATGAAACTAAAATCAAGATTATAGAAGAAAAGCAGTTTTATCATTATGCTCCCTCGATAGATGAAGGCAACTGCAAAGACTGAAATTACCTTGCACAGAAAGGCAGAATGTAATTACTGAGCACAAATATTTCCCTGAACTTTCCTCTGGTATTATGAGAACACCATCCCCAGGCACAATGGAAGACGCATGCCACTGCTTGCCTGCCCTCCCACCCTTTTACATATACACATGATAAAACACTAAGATTGTAACGACTTCAACCAACCCAAGGTAAGAAATTCCACAGTTAACATTTCTGCGCCCTATAGTCATCCTGTGTGGCTTGGTGAAGCTTCACATCTCATGTGATCTTGCATGTTTAAAATCCTACAGTTTGTCATAGACAGCTATAACTTGATTTAACCAACTGTAGTTGCAGCCCCTCTGCAGAGCTAGAAGGGCCACAGAAACTATGAAGGCAGGATACAACTGTTTCAAATTTAAAAATAAATAAATCAATCAATAAATCAAGGTATTATGCTAATTTGGAACCTCAGCATTATACTGAGGCCTCTTGCTACTTTATACTTCCTCCTGTAAGTTGCAGAAACCAAACCCACACCAACCACCATCCACCACAGTTTACAGCTGTGAAAAATGGTACTTTGGTCACTAGATACTTCTTATTCCTTATGGCCCCTTTCTCATGACCTGTTGACTAAGCCCAGAAAGAAGAGATACACTGGATACTCCTAGCATCGTTTTTATCTAGATTCTATCAAATTTGGGAAAAGAAAAAGCCTTCTTTTCACAACGCATTAAAAAAATAAAAGCAAAAATGACACCCCTTCAAATATTAAAAAGTTATGTATTGTTCCTTTAACCTGACCTATTAAATCCAGATAAAATGTAAACAGATATCACAATTCTAGTGCTGTCATAAAATCATAACATCGTATCAAAAATAAAATGAAACATGCTTGATAGAGCATTTCAAGGGTCTTTCAAGTAACTTTATGATGGCCAACTATTTTTCTTGTAGTGCTATGCCTCACTGAATCCACTCTGCTCGTTATAGCTCCATAAATCCATACATAACATGGATTTTTACATTCCCAACGATCAGAGCGGTGAGGATGAAAAACTTGTTCTCTAGTATTTTTCCTTTGGAGTACTGAAATTAAGTGCTGAAAACCCAGCTGGACCAAATTCTTTGTGCAAAATAACAGGGAAATGCAAAGGAAACGTAATGAGAAAATAAGCTTCTGCCACTATATTCTGAGTGCCAATCATATGATTCCTAAGAAAATGAAGGTTTTGGAGCTTTATATATGAATAGACTTTCATTCACTTTGGATTAGCCTTCTTAAGAAACTGAGAAAAGACTACATAGCTTCTACGGCACACATGCGTTATTAATTCTCTTTCAATTAAAATCAAAGGAAAAAACCATCTAGAGTTGCCCTCCATAACAGGTTAAATACACTCTCAGTGCAGCTGAGGCCAACAGCTAAATCTGTGTCATAGCCCTATCTAACAGTGACATTTTCAGATAGGTAGGACAGCCGTGAGAGACTTAAAAATCATAGAATCATAAAATAGCTTTGGGTGGAAAGGACCTTAAAGATCACCTAGTTCCAATCCCCTGCTTTGGGCAGGATTGTCAACTACTAGGTTCAGGTTGCCCAGGGCCCCATCTAACTCAGTCTTAAACATTTGCTAGGGATGGGGTAAAACAATACTTTTGCTACAAGTTATGCACAGAAAACAGCAAAACTCTTTTGAAGCAGTTTACAATGTCCTTACACCACTAGCAAAGGTCGTTGTAAGAACAGCATTTTTTTTTTTAAATGATATTGATGTCAAACAAAGATAGATATTTGAGACTGCTCAGCTTCTTTTCTTACTGTCCAGAGAAAAATCTCTTCCCCAGCATTCCTCTTTCATAACTTCCATTACAGGCACTTCTCAGGTTCTCATGGGCAGCTGTGGGAATCACATCCATTGCTACAGCAGCCTAGCACTGCTGCTAATGTACTGCCCACTCCCGAATCTGCACCTAGAGGTAGATAAGAAACTGGGCCAAAACCACAATGCTCCTGGAGAGGAGGCTAGAGAAGCAGCTCAGCACAGCTGGCAGTGCTACCAGTCCCCTAGTAGTTAGAGCATCTTGGAGGGTTTTAGTCAGATAGGGTAAAAACATTCTATGAGGAGACAACCAGAAACAGCATCAAATATACGGGACAATCCCTAGCAAAAAGCAACAGGTTATAGCTCTCATGCTCACTTGTGCCTTTGTGCAATTGCATGAGCATGGAAACTGCTTTCATATGTCTAACATCTGGCCCAAATTTAGCATTAAAATGTTCAGGCCATGCAGCCCTATTAAACTAGTCAAAAGATTCCAGAAAAAATGGTCAGAAGGAGGAGCAGGGACTTTTTTAGACCATTAAATGCTCCACTCCAAAACAAATCTTGTGGCCAATTCTCTGAGCTTCAACAAACTTGTTATTTTGAAAGCTTCCTAAGATGTTGTATTCACCATTGATCCTTTTAGCCTTAATTCCAACTGGAAACTACACAGATGGGACCCATGAATCTGTCTGAAACCTTCAAGAAAAAATGGTCAAGTTATGCAGTTATGCTTCTGGATTTAACGCCTCTTTCACTCCTTACAGGACCTGGGATATGGCAACATATGTTATTCTGTTTGTTCTGCCATTCTTCTCACCAAAGCCTGAGTGTGCGGGGGAAGGAAAGAAAAGGACAGTGTTTCGCAGTGCTTTCACTTGTGACAACAGCAGCTGCTGCGCTCTGTGCCTCCTGCCCTTCTTTAATTCTTTTCAACTCTCCCCATCTACATTTTCCCACTGTTAGAACAGCATCTCCACCCACCTTTCATTCAGAAATAGTAGCAAGGCCTGAGGGGAAATCGTGTCTATACACCCCAGATATGGAACATCTGCTGGAAAACTAACAAGTAAGAATTCCTGCCATAGTGCTGAAATCTGAAGTTACATCAGAAAGAGGGAGTATGAGAATCAACTCATAATAAGTGAGGAGCAAGCAGGATCTACAACCACAACTAGAGACAGGCCCAACTGAAACCTCCGTTCAATATAGCAGAAGAGATTCAAGTTTTCTAGCCAACTGCATCTGCTACTAACTGCTCAGATTATATAAGTAAAAGGCATAGCTGAACTATGAAGCTCTTTTCTCCAACAGGAGCCAACCCAAGCCTGATTAACACTGGAGAAGTTTAACCTTGGAATTAAATTTAGCAACTAAGAATATTTACTTGTATTCCAAAACAGTAAAAATCAAATAATATTTTGTGGAAACTTGAGAAACTTCTTTTTGACAATACCCATAAAGCATATTCTGGTCCCCTTTTTGAACTGCATTCACAGTCCTGACTTCTGTCTGGCACTGTGGACAGGAGGCACAGTGTCACAGAGGTGGTGGCTGTCATTTCTAAGCCTGGACATAACTCATCTTTCAACATTTATGCTCCCAAGGAAGCAAGAACTACATTGCCTGTGTATATACATAAAAATTACTTTGAAACTGCCAGTTGATTTCAAGGTTTCAAAAGTAGAAAAGCTAACTTTCTTTGAAGGGAAAAAGTACACAGGGCAGAGATGAAGAGATACTATATTTTAAACTCATCTAGATGTAACTCATCCGTAACTTTGGATAAGCATCCTTATTTCAGGGCTCAACACTGAATCTACTCAAATAAGCTTTTGCTTTAACAAATAAAAGGTCAGGCAGGCAGTCTCAGAAATTTCTTTATAGCGAAGCCAACAGTAAACTGGTTTTAAAATATTTTATTTAGTTACAAGGGCCATGAAGGCTTAACAAGATCAGTGAATTATGCCTTAGAACCAGGAATACTCTTTGACACAAACTGAAGAGAATCAAGGATAAGTGTAATGACTTCTGTGTTTTCTTTGTGTGTATAAATCCTCCTAATGCACAAAAACTGGTGATGGTCACCCACATAAACTTGACCTCTTTTCCAAATCACCTCTCAATATCCATACTCCTAGGAAAACAAGACGTACACTGCAGATATACATCTTTGTGTGTGTAAAAGTAACTTTGAAACTGATTTCAAGGTTTCAAAAACATTAAGTTAACTTCTGTTGGAGAGAAAATGACTTCAACAGGAGGGAATCCAAACTTGAAAGAGATGTCACGAGTAACTCAGCCTTGTTTAAACAATAGCTTAAACTGTTTAGATGCTACAAAATCAAGTCAAGAAATCAGAAGAAAATGAGTTTCGTTACTTCCAGTGCTTCTAGTGGTACGTGGCTCTTCTCTGTTTAGCAAATAAGACAGACTAATCTTCTTTTGCCTGCAAATCACATTTCTAAATCACCCCTTGGGCAAAGGCATATACCACATTTGCTGGTCAGAGACTGTTCTGAAAGGCAGGAGATAAATGTCTCCTTCAGGGTGGGCTCCTCTCTGTTGCCAGACAAGATACAGCCAGGCTGGGCTTGCAGTTAAGTTCCAAAGCTACCTAGCAGTACTAGCTTGACCAGCCTCTTACAGCTAATTTCACATCCCTGTCAGTGATTTGAATTTTCAGTGTGGATCTATTGTTTTCATCTTGAGAGAAGCTGCCTTTGCATAGCTTGAGCCACAGGTTAGCAACTGCAATACATATTTGCTCTGTGCGATACCGATCAAAATTGCTTAACGTAAAGTTTAGCATATCTGACAAAAGCAGAAGTTGTCAGTGTGATTTTACTGCTTGCACATTTTCAGCTTTTCCTCCCCACTTGTACCACTACCATTCCCCACTCCCACATCTTTATACATCATATCTTCCTCAATTATTAAATAAATATAAATAAATAAAATATAAAGCCCAATAAAGGAGGTAGGGAGTCAGAAAGACTACCACATTGTC